AATTTTAAACTTGTGCAAGGCGCAAATGAAAGCGAGCATTAGCGAAATGCCAGAGCTCCGGCTGCCTGATGGCTTGATGAAATTTTCGCTCAATGACTTATTCAGCCTTCCCACGCTCACTTAGCGATTTTCCCCAAACGCTGAACTTTGACTTCCTTTCGGAGCGCCAGGATATAGGCATCCCACTGATAATCACCTTGGAGACAGAGTGGGCTCTTAGCTGCCCTTTTTGCCGCCTGGGCTGCATTGACGCCATCGCTGCTCCTCGAGAAGGACGTGCCCGGGCTCCTGATTGTGGGTTACGGGGAGATGAAATGGGACTGCACCCGCCACGAGAACAACAACAATGATGACGATGATGATGCCGATGATGATGATGATGCATGCACGTCTGTTGCCCTACGCTCGTTTGGCGTCTATGCCAATCAAGTCAGGCAGCAAGCTAGGAAGAGGCTCTAAGGACAACAACCCACTACGAGAACGACAAAAGTGAAAGCAACAAAATCTCCATCATCAAGTGTCATTCTGGGCAGAAGTTGACGCATACATAAGCACACTGAGGCAAACTAGATAGTTGCCATCCTAAAACGCATTGTGAAGATGACATTTTAAGCTCCATTATGACATTGTTTCTATTCTAATAATCTTGACCTGTCTCGCTCAGTCATATATTGTTCTTTTTTATAACTGTTAGGCTTGAGAAGTACTTGTATTTGTCTGCCAGATTTCTTTATTTTCTTTCAGATTTAATTTAAGTAAATCCATGACACTTTAAGAAACGACGATGTTTTAATTTATTTATATTTTTATACACTATTTTTCTTCAACCAAAACATAAATATTAAATAGAATCTCATTTGTTTTTTACGGTATACACATGCTGTATTGAGGCATATGTCCATGTGCATCTCCATCCATCTCTCGTTCGCTCTTCTCGTACAACTATAGCCATGAATATTTATGCTTTGTTGCGAGGACCTGCTAGCCGGAATGTTTTGGATGTTGATGTCGGCTTTTGGATCCAAAGAGGTGACAGGGGGGTGCGGTGCTCTAACCCAGCCGTTGTTCTTCAAGAGCACACACTGTCTGGCAAATCAAGTGTGCAAGTTTGAATTGGGTCGGCTGCTGTTGCTGCTGCCGAGCTTAAATGTTGTTTAAACAAAACTTTGATTCCATCATACTTGGCAAAGTATTTATGGGCAAGGGCCCTTTTATGCAAACTGCATCTTTCGAACTTTGAACCAAAATCCAATTTCCAATATCAGGTAAATATCCACTGGATGTGCCGGCTTTAATTAATATAGCCCCATCCCATGGATCAATTCCGCTTTTGATTTATGCTAGCCATAGGCCACAGAACCGGTACGATTTCAGTTTTATGTTTCGCCCGTAAAAACAGATTGCAGTCATATGCCATTAAGCATTATCCGCTACTCATGGAAACACACAAACACTGGTGCACTCAATTTAATGATTGATTTCAGTTTAATTGCTTTCAATTGTTTTGCGGAATGCATATTTTACAAACGGCTGACTGCTCAGGGCGATAAGTAAGCAATAAGCAAACATTTTTCTCCCCTTTAGAATGACGTGTGAGCCCAGGCGATTTGTCAAAGTACCGGCCATTCCAGGCCCGGGAAAATATTATGCAAGACTTTTGGCCCAAATTCGCATACCCTTAACATGCTCGTATCTCCGCCCATTGACAACTCATCAAAAGCGACTGGCAAGGTCATGATGTGCCAAATACCCAGGGGGCTTTCAAGAAAATGGCAAAAAATAAAACCAAAAGTACATAAGAACCTTTTTGCACAGAGAAAAACCTCTTTTATTTGTATTTTATTTACTTAAAACTATCTTTAATAAGAAATAAGAATGAATTTTGTGTTCTTTGTTAAAGGACGAAAAACTTCAACTTAGATATGAACCAAATGCTATACGGATACGTAATATATAGTTATACCGACTTGACAAAAACAACATTTAAGGAAACTTTGAGAACCAAATAGAAAAAATAGAGGAAATTGACTTCTTTTTAACATAAAGTTATTGTTTGAAAGCATGTCTTGTTTGCTGACTGTGGAAACGTTTTTATGTTGGATTTCTTGGAATCGTAGTTTTTTTCTGTGTTCTTCAATCTGTGTGTATTTCTAAGTGTGGGCCACCTTTCCTCAATGCTCCCAAGATTGTCACACTTTCAGTAGGGCGTTCAGATATTTTGCCGACTGGCTCTGTATCTCAACTTTTCGCTTTTCGCTTTTCTTGTTTATTGATTTTTCCCTCCCAACCCATCCAAGTTTGCTGTACTTTTCTCGCATTATTTATTGTTCCACTTCGTTTTCTGGGGGCTTTTACTACTTTTGAATCTTTGCTTGCTGAGTATTTATAATTGCACTTAGCGTATTTCAAGTGTCCAAGGAATGGAGTGGTGGCAATGGCCAAAGGTGCAGGTCTCAATACTAATTAAGTTGGCCAGTTCGTGGGCAGCTTTTCCGACTGCGGTCAAATTCAGTGAAGTAAAGTGGCTGGGTGGCAGCCGGCCGCCCACTTCTCGTCCTTTTCCTCTGAGTGGCCTGAGTGGCACTTGCCGTCGGTGGTAATGACGTCAGTGCGGATAGTTTGTGGCTGGATTGGCGGTAAAACCACCTGGCAGGTGTGTCTGTGTCTCCTTCGGCGGAGGTGTGTGCTTGTGAGTGACAGTCAGTTGCATATATATGTCACAGCAATTAAACTCAAGCTAAAAATAAACTGGACAGGTTGGCAAAAACCAAATTGAACCCACATCAAAATACATTTTCCGAGCAGCGGGGTCACGAGCTGAACATATAATTATACATATCACAGGAAACCTATAAAAGATAATTGAATTCCACTGCGCATACCACAGGTCGTATGAGCGATTTTATTAAAATTATTGCTCGAAAAAGGAAAACTGATAGGCCAATCAAATGTCAAACAAGCCAAATGAGCTCGATTATTGACATAGTTTAGGTCTCATCATAAATTTCATATTTGGGGCAGCTTTTAAATATTTGAATCGAGTTCCACTGAACGAACACATGCATCAGTGAACAAATAATAGGCGTACCGAACAAAAGCTAAATTTTCCGGGATCAGTGTGGCTTGCGGAGTTCGAATGTAAACACATATGGCCAAATGACCTCTAATCGGCCCTATTGTAATTTGTTATATAAATAAGCATAATATGCTGTGTATCATTACCATTAGCCTCGTCGTTATTGGGGCTGGCCAGTTGCCAAATTTATATCATCTTTCAGCATAGTATTCACTACATATACCATAGGTATTGTATGTGGGCCATTTATATGCACATATTGTTTGGCACATTCTGGTGCCCGCCCTCAGTTGTGTGCATAAAATATTTCTGTGGTAATTTTTCATGCTCACATTAGCGGCGTCTGTCAACCGAAAAGCGGGAAAATGTTGCAACATCAAGAAGCTGCAAGGCATCCCATTTACTCCCCTGCCTGCCAACCCGCATAAATAAATAAAAGCCAGCTCAAAGGATCTCGAAGGGAGAGAAAGAGAGAGAGAAAGAGAGAATGAGGGAGAGTGGAGTGTCCTGCCGTTTAATCGGTATTGATTTTGTATTGTTGTTCCGTCGCCAATATTTTATTGTGAGACCTGCTTTGGGCCACGTCTTTCTACGTCTTTTAGCCATTTCGCTTTTGGACAACGCCGGGCGGTAATTGAAAGCCATACAAATTGCGACTCGACTGGCAGGCAATTATAAAATTGTTTGGCCAAAGTTGATTGTAGCGTAAAATAGCCGGGAACGGCTCGACCTCTCACATGCTGGCCAAGAAATAGTCTGGCCATGAATGTCCGTTTACATCGGATCAATTGCTTATTTATTGCGCAACATTTTCAACAGGACTTTGCTTTTAATGCATGAGTCAAGTTTCAGGCACTGAGCAAAATAATGCCTCTTAGCTACAGACAATATTTATTCTTTTGGGTTATTATATTTTCCCAATATTATTATTACTGTTAGATAAAAATGTTTTGAAAAAATCTATGAAAATATTCAATCTTTTAAAAAATAAATATGGTGTTACCTTGTTCTAAGACCCACAAAAAAATAAATTTTTTTTAAGTTTCCTTTGAATTGTTCCTGATTTAACAATAATGTTTTTCTGACAGACTATTTTTTTACTGTAAGGGATTCATTTAATGCCTAGACAGACAGGATATACAGATAGAGAACAGAAGCCCGGTTGGCACGAAATTCCCAACATTTTTCCCCTTCCGTTGGAGGCATGTGCTGGAGCTTCAATAAAGGCAATCCATAATTCATTTGGTTAAATGCATTCGAAACGGGCTCATTGCAGATGCATCTATCCGTGCAATCAGGACCAAAACGCACTGTTTTCGACGTTAAATTGCATTAAAATTGTCATTCGATAGAGCAGCTATCGAGTGTTCGGCCTCTTAATGTTTGCCGTGTGTGTCGTATCTGGATTTGTACACTCGATTTGTTCACTCGCATTAAAACCGAATTCGTGTTCAATATTCGACAAGGGAATTATCGTTTCCTTGGAGATGATTTCTTTTTTGTGTGTACTGCTTGGGGGAGGCTAAAGAAATTTATGATGTTTTTTATTCGCATTGAGAATGCAGAACATAAACAAATTTGAAGCAGGCACAAAACAGAATTGAATTAAATTGAGTTTACCCCTCACCCAAAAACAAAATCGATATGAAAAATGAGTGCTCTGTTTGTTCCCCGCCATTCTCTTTAACTTTTGGCTTTGGTTTTGTTCCTTTTGTTGAAATTTTTGCTCTCGGCACTTGCCGCCGCGTGGCGACAAATAAATCTGTGGTCCTCTTCCAATAAAAATAGACACATTCACAGTTTCAATTGCAACTAGACGGCGGCTGCAATTCCAATTTTTTCAGTGCCCCCAAAAACTCAGAGGCACACACGCAAAAAGCAACGCGAAAAAAGAGGCCGCCACATTTCAATCGAAAAGTTTTAATTGAGTTTTTGCAGCCAATCGAATAATCAAATCAAAACTCATTACAATAAAAGCGAAAAGGCGGGCGCGAGAAAGAAATTAGTGCAATTGAATAAAGGCAATAAGGCCAATTAAGTTATTAAACGAATTAACGCAACACACGACAAAAAAGTGCAAAAATGTTTGGCTGCATTTATCAGCTGTGGGACTGGTGAGTAGCGTAAATCTTGTAGGTCTCCGGTAAAGTGCCCCTTTACCTGCAACATGTTCCCCACTTCCCACCCCATTTCCCATCCCCACTCCGATTTCCCATTTCCCGCAGAGAAATTAAGGCCTGCAAGGTCAGCCGTGTGTTTGTGGCCGGAGCGGCGACTGCAGTTAATCAATTACGGTCAATTACGCGCTGAGCCAGTTGCATTTTCCACGGTCTCCGTGCCTTCCGTAGTTCGTGAATTTCCAGACCCTACACTGCGGCTTAACCCCTTGTCAACTCTTGAGACGTGTTTGAAATACTTTCGCGGTTCTATGGGAATTTCCACATGCCTAAAAATGCCTAAGAATATTTATTTTCGAAAAGTAGATTACAATTTATAGCATAATGCACTAAGATGTTACTTAACATTATTGCTTCTTTAAGTATGTCCCTAAACTACAAAATTGTAAAATTCCAAACTAAGCCATATTAGAATTTTATCCAAGCCATTTTTTAAGAGAATTTTCTCGGTTACTAATTTTAAAGTTTGCATTCATAATTGTTTTTTTAATCAATTTAAAATTTAAAAAGTTTTTAAAGTTTTCTGGGACACCGTATAAAGTTTTATTAAATTTGTATGTAAATATTTACATATAGAAGACCTGATAGAGGAAATCTAAATACATTTTGTAGGTTTTTCATAGGTTTTAAAAAAGTTCCTCTAGGGTTTTAAATCACATTTTTGGAAAATCAAAAAGTATAAATTTGGCAAGTATGCTATACTCTTTGAACTAATAAAGTACACGGTTCGCCTAGGGTTAAATGCCCTGTCCACGCTGGCAAATTAAGCCCGGTGACCTCAGCTGATTGAATCACAGTTCCGCCTGTCTTGCGTATTTCCACTGATCGGTTTTCCGTTTTTCCCTCCCCCATTGCAGGTTGGAGGCGCCGCCGCTCTTCACCGCCGGCACCATGGACGCCAAGAAGCTGCAGCAGCTGCAGGAGGCAGCGATCCTGGCGCAGCAGCAGAAGAAGCTGCCGCTGGCCTACCAGACGAATCTCGTGGACTACCGGACGGCGGCCTACAGTCAGGCCTTGTACCAGCAGTCGCCCACGGCCACCAGTTCGAGCGGTGGAGGACCCCTCTCGCCGATCGAGCTGCAGCCGCAGTCAAAGCACCACAACCACAACCTGATGAAGCACGGCGGAGGCGGCGGAACGTCCAGCAGTTCGCACAGTTCGCCCTACCATCAGTCGTATTCGAGCAGCGGCGGCACTGCGGCGGGGGAGCAGCTGTACCAGTCGCCCACGGAGCGAACCTATCTGGCGGCGGCCGGCAGATTGCAGGCCAGCAATGCCATCGCCGGACATCATCCCATTTCGGCGCTGCAGTCGCAGTACCAGCAATTGCAGGCGGCCAAAATGCAGGCCCAGATGGCCACCCAAAGCGAGGCTGCCCAGCAGCAGCAGCGCACATTCGCCATGCGACAGGCCATGAACCCGCCCACAAATCACTATCACATGAGTCAGTCGCCCAGCATGGTGTCCAATATGACCACGATGACCCAGCAGCAACAGCAACAGCAGCAGCAGCAGCAGCAACAGAGGGCTCCACCCTCTTCTTTAAATTTGCAAAATCAATATCAACCTGCTCAGGGCCCTCTGAAGTTGCAACATCAACATCAGCAACAGCAACAGCAGCTGCAGCAGCAGCAACCTTCCATGCCCAAACACTACCAGGAGCAATTGTACGCTCAGCAGCAACAGCTGCAGCAGCAGTTGCAACAGCAACAGTTGCAGCAGCAACAGCAACAACAACAGCAGCAGCAACATCGTCACAAGAATGACCTGCAAACACCGGGCAGTGAACACGGCACCGTTTACATCCAGCAGAATCATCCCGGTCATGTGGTGAACCAGGCATGCCAGACCCAAATATCGGCCGTTAAACCCAAGGCCACGCCCAGTTCGGAGGAGTCGTCGTCGAACTCGGCCAAGAGTCCCACCCATGCACCGCTGGACCGGAAGAAGAGCGCCGGCTCCATTCAGGCCTTGAAGTCACCCATCACGAAGAGACCACCCTCCACGCCGGTGACCTTGTCGGGTTGGCTGCACAAGCAGGGCTCCGACGGTCTGAAGGTGTGGCGCAAGCGCTGGTTCGTCCTGGCCGAGTACTGCCTGTACTACTACAAGGGGCCCGAGGAGGAGAAGCTGCTGGGCTCGGTGCTGCTGCCCTCATATCGCGTATCCGCCTGTTTGCCCGAGGACAAGATCTATCGCAAATTTGCCTTCAAGTGTGAGCATCAGAATATGCGAACCTATTGGCTGGCGGCGGACAATGCCGAGTCCATGATGCAGTGGGTGAGAGCTTTGGCGGCGGCCAGCCTGATGCAGGCGCCCAGCAGCGGGGAATCGGAGCCCAGTGTGAATTCCTCGCTGAATCACAGTGGCGAGAACTCCGACTCGGGCATTCACACACTGCAATCGCATCCCGGCAAGGGGCAGCCCACACCCTCGTCGGAAAATGCGGGCAGCAGCGGGGGCGGCAGTGGACAGCCCCTCTATGCAAATGCACCGCCCAAGCCGAGGCGCATCAACGATGGCGGCTACTCATCGCCATCGCCCGAGCACAACGAACAGCAGCAGCATCAGCAGCATCAGCAGAAGCAGCAACATCCTAGTCGCCGCCTCATGTCGCCCACGCAGCAACTCTACCAGCAGCAGCAGCAGCAACACCAACGATCTCAGCAGCAACAGCAACAGCAGCAGCATCAGCAGCAGCAGCAACCGCAGCAACATCATGCCATCTACGACACGCGAACGGGCCACGTGTCCACCGCCTTGCAGCTGCAACAGGCTCAGCAGCAGTACTCACTGGACCACCTGGAGGCGCAGTTCCAGCAGCAACAGCTGGACATGGAGGAGCAGATCGCCAGGCTGCAGCAGCAGCGGGCCGCCGAGGAGATCTACGGTGAGCGGGAGATGTACATGGCCAAGCTGATGCAGCAGCGACAGGGTCCGAATGGGGCATACCCCACCCAGCAGCAGCTGTTGCAGGCGGAGCGGCGCACTCCGGATGCCTATGGGCGGTCCAAGCAGCAGCGACTCTTTGCCGCCGCAGCCGCCGCAGCGGACTACGAGGACATCTACAACATGTCGCAGCTGGCCGGCGGTGCCGGAGGAGTCATGTCCGCCCAGGAGGCGCTCCTCCAGGAGGCGGCCAGCTACCGGCGACCCCTCAGCCCGCCCAGCTACGATGCCAGTAAGCACGTACCGGCGATGCCCCAACGGTACACACCCAATCATTTGGAGGTAAGATGTCAAAAAAGAGTCAAGCACTTGTCTTGACAATTTATACAAATTTAGACAGAACTTAACGTTGAGATACAGTTGGGATTTATTTTTAATTTTTTTATTTTACAAATTTAGTTTAAAGGTACTACTTTAAATCCATCAGTAATAGTATTTATTTAATGAAAAATTTTTTTAACTAAAATAGTTTTTAAATAGTTTATAATTATTGAAAAAAATATTTGACAAAAGGCTTTTCAAAAGTGTTTTTGTCAGTAAGTTTTTCCGCCGTTTCTACTTGCTTGCGTGTGCTAGTTTTCAAGTTATCTGCATGAATCTTTCCCAAAAGTTGTCTTTCTATGGCAGGTAGTACCTAAGTCGGATGGAACCAGATCGGACGATAATATCATATAATTCCCATAGAAACAATCGAAAAATGAATTAAATTTTAATTCTTCAGCTTATAGTAAATCGGACGTCTTTTGCTCCCATTAGAATAGGAATTAGGAATAAAGAATTAAGAATATAATAAACATTTAAAGACAAATAACTCCTCTATTTAAAATTTTTCTTTGTAATACATGTGGCTTGTTAATTTAATTTAACATATAGCTACCATAGGAACGATCGAACTATTCAGTGAAAAATCGTAAAAGCTTCAATGTCTACCCTCTTAACAAACCTACTTTTGCCATAATAAGAAGTGAAATCAAGTTGTCATCGCTGATAACTTAAAAGCACAAGAGTGCAATTCTCAAAAGCAATCAAAATGGCAAACCACTGCCCCCGGCGCCACGATCTGCAGTTGCGATTGCTGATGACCTGCCACTTGGCATTGCATCCTTGGCTTTATTGGCTACTTTGAGCTGGGAACTGCGAGCTTGGGGGCGTGTCAGCGGCAAAGGTCAGCCCACCAAATCATTTGCGATGCCACTTGATGTTGTGTGATTGCCGCAAATCGTGGAATTGCAAGTGCTCACAAAAACCCAGGGGCAAAAATTCAAGCGGGGATATGATGGTGTGTTATTTCCGCACCTCTTTCCTTCGCTGACCTAGTTGAAAAGTTGCTGCCTGAGACTAGCACCTCCTCACGTATCAGCTTTTCACTTTTATTTGCCCTTGCCGGTGTGCCTGGTATGGTAGTCTGCTCCTGCAGAGATAACTCCTCATGCTCCGATGACTCCATAAAGCCGCACACAAAAGCTGATACTGCTGCTGCTGATGCTTCTGCTACTGCTTCTGCCAGTTTTGCTGCTGTTTGCTGCTTAAAGTCATGCCCCCATTGATGGACGGGAATGGAGAACACCTCCAGAGTCTTTCTCGGAAACTTTCGGTTTCAAGCAGCTGTCTCGAGTCCGCCGCAGCTCACAATTTAATTGGACTTTAGTGTGTCAGTGGGTTGCTGAATTGCAGACGTTTCGCCGAAGGAAGAGGCTCCTCTTCCCCCTAATTCTTGGCCACCAGAGCAGCAATTTCCTTCCAATGCAACTTTATGCGCTTTCCGCCCTTTTGGCAGTGGGACACTGGGGCAGTGGGTGTTTAGTGGGTCAGGTCAGGCCCGGCAAGTTAGCCGGGAAATGAGTCGCGTGCATGATTTATGGCCACGGGCTCCTGGGTCCGAGACCAGCTGTGCCGCCGGCCAAGTGTCGAACAAGTTACGGGCCACGCCAATCTTGCACACTCAAGCAAAGAATTCTTGGCCCGCAACTTTAAAATTGCTTCCAAAAATAAGTGACCAGAAATTAGCTCTTTTCTTTGGTATTACAATTATTAAATTTCACAAAAAGTATCTTACGATGTCTTAAAAACAAACTCAGGAAACAGCATACACTTTGGAATACCAATGTATTACAGTTATATACTGAACTAGTTTTAAATATAAACTTCTGTGTCATTGATTGTGGTATTTTAAAGTTATTTCTGTTACAAATTTAATTTTCTTTTATATTCAATAACATTTATAGTTAAAACAACATCAATGGATTAGCTTATGTCAAATAGTTTTATTTATTTCACATAAGATATGCCATAAAGTTTTTTTTTTGAAGTGCAACACTAGTTAAAAATGCAAAATTGCTACGAAGCCATTACACCCCTTCTAATTTGTTGCCCCTCCTCTTTTTTGCAACCGTTTTTTAGGCCAGTGCCGCTGATCAACTAATCAATACCATGGACTTGCGTGCCCGCACGGCGGCGGCCATAGTGCGTCCCCACTCCGCGGACTTCCTGGAGTATGAGGCTCGTGCCGAGGCAGCTGCAGCCGCTGCCGCCGCGGCGGTGGCCCAAAGTCAGCAGGAGAGTGGGCGTGCCCCGCGGCCCAAGTCCAGTTTGGACATCAATCGTACTCCGGACAGCTTCTACTACTCGGAGGCCAGCTATGCGGAGAAGATGCGGAAGAGTGCACTGTATTTGCAGAGCGGCGGCGGCGGAGGAGGTGGAGCTGGAGCTGCTCAGCCGCAGCAGGCGGGCAACTACCGCACTGCAGCGGGAGATTTCGGCTCAGGGGTGAACACCATTGGCTACGAGAATCCCTACGAGAGGGCCTACAAGCGGCAGGAGCTGCTGGCCGAGGCACAGGCCCAGGGCGGAGCGGCCAGCAGTATGCCGCGCATGAGCCGGTCCGCCAGCCAAGGTCGTTCGGTGGCCTCGCAGCTGCAGTCGCCTCAGCAGGAGGACCTGCCGCCGCTCAACGTGCATCCGGGCTCCATTTTCCCGCCCTCGATGTCCACGCAGGAGATCATCAGCAAGAACGAGCAGTTCCTGCGCTCCGCCAGTGCCCGGCTGCCCAAGAGAGCGGGCGGCATGGACGATGACTACTCGGCCGCGAATTCCACCACCACTTCGCCGACGTCCGGCGCAGGAGGCGGTGCCTCCAACTCGCCGCAACACCATCAGGATGGCGAGCGGAAGCGGGAGGAGTCCATGAAGCGGCTGCTCGAGTGGAAGCAGCGCATGCTGCAGTCACCTCTGACCCGCAAGGGCATACAGCAGGGCGGCAGCAACATGTCCGCCATGTCCAAGCTGGGCAGCAATCCGAACATCCTGCTATCGTCCACGGCGGTGGCCAGTGGAGCACGCTATGCCCCCCATGCGGGCAAAACGGGACTGGTGGGCAATGGCAATGGAAATGGAAATGGCAGTGGCGCGGCGGCTGGGAGTGCAGCATCGACATCGGGAATCCAACGATCCCGATCCGACAGCCAGGCCAACGTGGGACCCGGCGGAGTGGTGTACAACAGCTACTCCTCGGACGACGAGGGTAAGTGCCCATCAGCGATGATTTCCTATACGTATTCCCCATTCTGCTTGGCTTCAACTCTGTCCCTATGTAATACGTCTCTATCTGTGCCTGTAACTGCCTCTATTCTGTATCTAATTACTATGTTTATGCGTCACTAAATTAACAAATTTAAAACGTATGGTATAAGTTAAGTTTATTGAAATCAAAGACAATCAACAAAATTGTAATACTAAGCAAATTGAGAGCTTGCATAAATTTAAAAATCATTACAAAAGAACTTCAATTAAAAACCAATAGAAAAATGTTTTATATTTTATTGGTAATAACTTGGTTCTACAAAAGAAACAGTAAAAAGTACGATCAAATAGCATAAAAATTGATCCATGGCAACATATTGATATTATGGAAATCTCACTAATATTTTATTTTTTATTGCTTAATCAATCATAATTAAATCATTACTTTTACAATGACCAATTTGTGTTTGCTGTAAATGATGCAAATGCAATACTTTAATTTGTATGCTTTAATAACGTAGTTTTGTTGATTGTATTTGCTCATAAAATGCGTGCGCATAAACGTAGTGAGTATCTCTACATCTGCATCAGTATCGTATCGTATCCGTAGCTGTATCTTTATTTGTAGCTGTTGCTAACCGCGCTGGCCTATTCTGCGTTCCTTACTTTTATTTTTATACGCTCTTGGCTTTGCTTTCAGTTACTATAGTTGCATGTTATGTGGCGGACCTTGAGTTGTATGCCTTCTGCTGTACTTTGTAGTCGGTCTTGTAATTGCAAACTGCGTTTTCCCTTCGCTTGAGAACTTTAGAAATCCATAAATAAAGGACCCCATCTGCCTTTGACAGCCCGTTTTTGTTGTGGCAACTAACTATTAACTATTTATAAGCCTTGCCCGTTTTCAACGCTTATATATATCATGTCCAGACGCCAGACTAAACAATTAAAAGCTTTATGTAGTTTATATTTGTGTGTTTTACACTTTTTTGTGGCCTTGTTTTATGTTTTAATGAATATGGTTAATTTGAATGTACACAACAGAAAGCAATTTATGTCGTAAATCGAAACAAAACAAAGATACCTTCCTGCCGTGCGCACACGAACACAATACATGGACACACAGAGAGGCAAATTGAAAAGCATTGAGTAATCAATTTAGAATCGCTGCCCAAGAGTAGGCAACACCTATGTTATAGCCAAATTCTGGCCAGGTTTAAATTTGTGGGCCCACAACTGCATAAAATCAAAAAGTACACACACTTAGTTTTTGTTTGCTCATATTCAATGGAGAAAGGAGGAGGGTAAACCGAAAAACCAATATTTCTGTAGTCCATAAATCTCTCTCTATTTTTGAAAATCTCTATCTTTCATGGGCTTAGTAAAACATTTTTAGCGTAGTTTCGTTGCGGATTTGTTTCATTCATATATACGTTTTCCCATCATGACAACCGGGTGCTTGGTATTTCCACTACTAAATGCCGCTGTAAACTTCGCACTAAAACCCAAACAACAAATAAAACAAAAACCAATTAAAACTCAAACTCAATCTGGGCTCATAGCGCAATCGACCACCCATTTGATTGATTTTAATTACATTCCAACCAGCAAGATATACAAACATGTTTTATATTTCTTTTTTTTCCATACATATATAAATAAATCGTTGTGTATACGTTGAATTTGGTAATTCTTAAATGAAACAAAACATTATCTCAATTTGTAAATGCTGTAAATGTAACAATTGAACGATACCGAAAACACAAACTCGAACTCGCAAAAAACATTAACAAAACGCACGAATCGCAGCTGGGACTGTGGATGATAACTTGTATAGTGCGACGGCAGGAAGGTCATCGTCGAAAACAACAACGACATCACAGGCAATAGTAGCAACAACAACAGCGTTAGCAATAGCAAACAATAGCAGTGACAGAAACGTAGAGAGTCCGAGACCAACGGCATCATCGTCATCATCATCATCATTATCACCCAAAGTCAGCAATGCGAAATTCCAACTGAAGCCCATTTTGAAAGTGCACGAGGCCAACAAAACCCGCATTATTCAGGTGCAGCCCAAACAGCCCGAGGAGCGGCTCAAACTTAGATTGAAATTGCCCAAGGCGCAGGATGAGCAGGACGAGCAGGACGATGAGGAGCAGGAGGAGGCATCCGTACCCATTTTGCCAAAGAAAACAGCACCCAAGTCGCCGCAGAATGCCAATTATGTGCCTGTGTACAGCAATAAGCTGGTCAGCAACTACGAGAACATGGAGTTTGGCAAGCCAATGGCCGAAAGCAAAGCCCCCGCGAGCAATGCAGCGATTACCGATCCCGAGGAGACGCCCATGCTGATGCAGCTCAAGTTGTTCAAGGAGCAGCAGGAGCAGCAGAATCAGCAGCAGCAGCGAGAAACCGAGGAGGACCTCACACCCACAGCGGAAAGTAAACCCATTCCAGGGGAGGAGGTGGAAACGAAGGAATCACATGAGGAGGAACCAGAACAAGAGCTCGAAAACGAGGAAGAGGAAGATGAAGAAGAGAGCACGGCCTGCGAGGAGTACACTGATGATGATATAGACGAAGCCCTGGCTCAGGACGATGAGGATGAAGCCGTCGTCGTGGCATCAGAAAAGGAATTGGCTGAGGACAGGGAACTGCAGCAGATATATGTCAACGAGCCCATCACACCCACCGACCAGCAGTTCGACGAGAGTCACTACCTGCCCATGACGCCCAAGAAAGTGGAACTGGGTCAGCCGGGGGTGCTCACCCTGGTTGCCACGCACGAAACCTACGCCGCGGAAGAGGAGGAGAACCACTATGTGGAGATGACCAAGGGGATCCAGGACGAGGACTGCAGGAGCAACTACGAGACCATGTGCCTGGTCAGCACTAGTGCGAGTGCCCTTAAGGTCACGACCAAAACAGAGCCTGTCTACATGGAGTTGGCCGGGGTTAAGGGTGCAGCCAACGAGGAAGCCCACTGCTCCTCGGGTCGTTCTACCCTGAAAAAGGGCAAGAAATCGGGGACTGAGACCCTCAAGAAGAAAACCAAAAAGCGGCAGGGCAAGGACATGCCGGATATCCTTAAGCCAGCCAAGAGTACCCTGGCCAGCGATAGTTCGGATGCGGATGACGAGAGCAGCCGGCAGCAGCTGGAGGCCAAGAAACTGCGCTCCAGGTCACGATTTAGTCTGTCGGATACCTTTAGGCCAGCTTCGTACTATTTGGGTGCTTCAACACCCCTGAACAACTACGCAGAGAGTTCGGACAGTGAGATACTGCCGCCACCTCCGATACCGGACTCACCACCGCCCATGGAGGAGCTCAAAACGGAGGAGATCTTCTCTTCCGAGCACTACGATACGGTGAAGCGAAAGGACAGCAATAGCAAAGTGAATCTCTCCTACGAGCAACTGCCCAAGATGCATGCCAGCAATACGTCATTGAATTTGCCCAAAGCAGTTCCTAGTCCCACGCTAAAAAGTAGTCGTCTCTCCCTGCCCGACCACTTTACCAAGGTGCGAGTGACACCTCAGAGGCTGCTGTTGCCGGGAGCCACGCCGCCGCAGCAGCAGCACGCCCGCACTCTCTCCGACTCCAACTACAGTGTTCAGTTGACGGACAACAGTAGTTCGCGAACCTCCTCGGACTTGGATCTGTATCGCCGGAGGGGCCAGCAGCAGCATCAGCAGCAGCAACGATGCACCAGCAACAATTCGCTGCCCCTCAGTAGCGAAAATGAGTCGGTGGAGTTCCGGCAGAGATCCGACTCTGAACTGGATCGCCAGCGATCGAGGCGACCGCTTTCCCAGGAGTCTATCAGCGAGATCGAGTCGCTGAGCGAGCAGTTCGAGGAGACCCTGAGTAGCCACGAACTGGACACCTACCTGAGTCACCTGCACCTGTCCACGGGTCAGTCCACGCCCACCAGCCACCTGCTGAACGATGCCAATGCAGCCGCAGGTGCCGACATCCTAACCAATCTCATCAAGCCACCGAAAACATTCCGCAATACGGAGGACGAGGAACAGCACTTCTACGGCAACATACACTTCCTCTCCTCCACCGACTCCATTCAGCAGCTGGGTGATGGTGGGGCAGCGGCTCTGCGCATCATACACAGTCGGAATAACAGCAATATATCCACCCAGTCGGCTCCCTACTACTACTCAGAGCTGCCAGCTCCGCCGCCCTTGAACAACCAGCGTGACATTCACGCCCACGGCCTGAACATTGCCCACATTCACAACCCCATCGATCGGAATCAGTTCAACGTGGATGCCCTGGTGGACAAGGACCAGGCCATCGACAGCAAGAACATCTACTGCGGCCAGAAGGACAACCACGAGAAGCTGAGCAACAAGAACCTCAAGCTGAACAACCACATTCCGCTGGTAGATTCAACGGAGCAGCCGGAAAGTAGCGGTAGTGGTGCACTTAACCCCGTCGTCCATTCATATCCATTCACAACTACTAAAAACACAAACCTCGCTCGTAAGACGATTGGTGGTAGCGTCCCGTCGGATGATGGAACCCCTAACGATGGTGCTGGTGAAGATGAAGATGATGGTGCGGCGGAGGAGGAGGAGGCAGTCGTCGGCAAGACCCCGTCGAATAATGTCCATCCCAACCTCTCAGTTCTAGGTGGCGAGTTGCTCTGGGAGGAGGATGCCCTGTGGCGTGAGAGTTTGCGCCGGGTCTCCCAGCGGCATGCGAGATCCCTGGACGATCTGGACAGGATTGCGTCCGTACCGCCCGTTTCGAGTACGCCCAAGGCGAAGTTGAGTCGCGAGGTGACCTACGTGAATGACAGCCTAAAGCCCCGCCAGCCGCCGGTGAGCAACGAGCACGATGTCTATGTCCAGTTGCTGGATAACTCCGTCCTCAGCCACGAGCAAGCGGATTCCGATGTGTACGAGGTGCTGCGCGAGGAGACCGCCTCGAATTTGTCGCACAAATCCAATGAGCTGGATCGCGAGACCATCCGTCAGTGGGATGCCATGTCCAGTGGCCTAATGAAGAGCCACCACAGCAGCAGCATGGATGGAGGTGGAACGGGAACTGGAGCTGGAGCTCCTCACCTGCCACTCACCAGCAGTGTGCGCGCAATCGTACAGCAGCTGAACAATAGCGCCACCACCATAGACGATGCCAATGGCAATCCCATGGCAACAGGGCCAAAGTCCAGGACGAACAACAACCAATGAGGCCACCACAGAAACCACAAACCTCCCACCCTCAGAAACACCTTTCAAAAATATGCAATCCCATCCGTAGTTTCAATTAAGCTTTCCATTTGCCATTTTTGGTTTGCACTCCATGGAGTTATTTTATGTGTCTGTTTGCCCATCATGTTTTCCACTTAGATAGTGCTCTATTTGTTTTGTTGACTGTCACTGCTGTTGTTGTTGTTGCTGTTGTTGTTGCTGTCATTATTGTTGTGTTGCGTTGTGTTTTGTTTAATTAATCAACTGGTAAGCAAACTTATATTTATTTATCAAACCCACTTATCTCATTAAGTCATTGAATCGCTTGTACAAACGCCACTCACTCACATTTCCCCATCCAAGCACACCCATTCGCCACGCTGTAAAGTTGAACAAATCCATAGCTAGATAGATACTTTTTGGGCAGTCACATATAGCCATAGCTGTAGGAGCCAGCAGCTGCAGCCACAGATTATAGTATATACATAAATGTGTTTCTCACAACACCAGTAGCCATTTTCCATTCCTCCCAAAAGAATAAATAAAACAGAATTGCAAAGCCACAAACTACAAGCCAAATTAAATATTCCGTACAACTGCTGGGCATTCGCTAACAGATTACTGATTGCTTTCCTAAATATTTCGCGCACGCATTTAAACTATTTTTAGACCGCCTCCATTGACCATCCAGAATATATGCCTAATCGATTCTCTTCGAACTTGTAGCCTCGATTTCGGTGCGCAATGTGAACAATCTACCGATGGGAAATCTGACGGTGAAGCCGGATCCTTCGGATGTCCAGCAGGAGTCCGCCTTTGCCCCGTACTACGGCGGAGCTGCGGAGACGAAGTACGCCAAGAACACCGTGCTCACGGATCGCGGACTTTACGCCGGAAACGGCCTGGCCACATCCACGCCCCAAAATCATCAGCAATTCCGGATGCGCCGCACCGGAAGTAGGGCGGAAATCGATATGCTGGAGCGCGAGACGAGCAGCCAGATCAGGGTAAGTCCAAAAAGAGTTTAAACTTAATCGAATTGCAGAATATTCACAAACACTTGACATTTGAAACTGACTTTACGCTTAACCAAGGGCTAAAGGGCTTTTTCAAGTCAGGTAAATTTCACTTTTATTGTCAGCATTGAGCTTAATATTAAAAATGGAATTTATAAAATGGAAACATTTTACGAAATTAAAAAAACCAATTTCGCTGCACACAAAGAAGATAAAAAAATGTTGGGCTCTACTTTTACAAAAGTGAAATAACTTATTAGAATTTGTTTCTCTAAAAAGTACAAGCTTACCTTTATTTTATTGGACAAATAAATGTTACACTTTTCTTAAATTATAACCAGAATTGGATATCACAAGTGTGTTTAAATTCTTAAATTAATATTTGTACAACAGTGTTTGGTTTTTGTGGATTTATTGCCACCAATTAAAATCAGTTTGATTCAACATGATATATTCTATAGCTATTTAATTAAGTGCAATTTGGTCAATTTAAAAAAAATATGGCATTTAATAAGTAATAAAAGTTGTCATTTAAAATGAATATAAGCTTTGGAATAAACATTTTAAAAAGCTAAAAATGTTTATCATATATATTTTTTAAACAAACAAATCATTTTTGAAACTTTTGAGTTTGTGTTATATTAGGAAAATTTTCAAAGTTCAAATGTTATCGTAACCGAAACGGGGTGCAAGTTTTGATGAGGGCCAAACCTAATTTGTTCACAAAACCAACAGAACTTGGATGTGTCGGCCGGGGATTTGCTGAGCCGCACCCACGAGGAGCTGGTCCTTCTGCTGATCCAGTTGAGGAGGCAGAGCAGCCAGACTGCCAGAGCCATCGAGCAGTGCTGCAGCGACATTCACGATGTGCAGGTGGATAAACAAATGAATTCTATGTTTATCGTTGGGCGGTTTTGGCTAACTTCTGGTGCTGGTTCTGTGACTAATTCTATACTTTGTCTATCTAACTTTTAATTTCTGAAATCTGCTTTGGAAGCCCAAAAACTTACTTTTGTTTTAATGAAATGCCCCACAGAATCGCCTTCGAAGTGCCGAGGGTTTGACTAGAGCCGAAAGCATCCAGCGATTGGACTACTTGAAGCAACACCTTTTGGATTTGGAACGGCATTACGAGAAGAGCAAGCCGCTGGTCAATTTGGTGGACAACATGGTCAAGCTGGGATCGCTGTATCGGAACGATGCCAATGGCAGAGTCCAACCAGCCACTCTGGATCGCCTGGAGTTCAATCAGCGGATGCAGGAGCGTCAAATGCTGCAGGAGGAGCAGCAGCAGTGGGAGCGCCTCAGTCCCAATCAGGCTGAGTTACAGGTATGTTTTTCTAACTAACATTTAAAAAAATATTAATAAACTCTACTCTACGAGTAAAGGGCATAATTATCATAAATAAAATAAATAATGCCAAGTCAAAAACTGTTTTATTGTTTGACTAAAAAATATCATATATTACGCCGCAACCAAATCAAAAACAGACAGGCAATAGCTTTAATTTTCAAAGCCAGGCAGCTCAAAAATGAGCTTAAATAAATAACGCCAAGTTAAAAACTGCATTATTGTTTGCCTAAAAAATATGATAAATTAAGCTGCAATCAAATCACAAACAGACGGGCAAAAACTTTAATTTACAAAGGCTGACAGCTCAAAAATGACAGCCTAAAACTGGCAATTATAAACATTAAAAACTAAACCTTTAACACAGTTTTTTTTATTTGTTACTTAACTTACACTATTTTGTTATGAACAAACTAGACTTTATAAATTGTATTTTTTCCATACTCAGGCCAAGGTGCGTGAACTCTACCAACTGGATCAGCTTCTGCAGGAGGAGTCGGGCATTCTGCAGAGTCTGCAGCGCGACAAGGAGGACCTCGAGCGTGCCTTGGGCGGATTAAGAGCTCGCATCCACGACAGCAATGCCACGCCCATGGCCCTGGAGGCGGCCAAAAAGCAGCAGCACATCCTGGAACGCGAACTTTCGCGAGTCCATCAGCTGCTGGCCGACAACTCAAAGGTATCCAAGGTGCCTAGTAGAAGTTTTTTGCATTTCGTGTCCTGCTGATTGTTATTTGTCTGCTTGAGCTTCGCATGTCGCTTCTGTAACTAACCAAAAACTAATTTCTTTTGGATTTAGATAAAGACAAAAAGGTCATGATTGAGCGCTATAGGAGTAGCCATATGGATAGATGAAAAACAGTATTTTTGTTTAAAACTCAAAACTAAAAAAATGACTTTTTTTGCAAATCAATTTTATTACCATTACTGTTCTGTTTTTTGCCAAATATTTTTTATACTGTGCCTGAAAGTCAATCATGTTTCAACAAGGTTTTTAATTCGTACTTTTTATGTACTTAATTAAATGAATACAATTTTTCCATTTAAAAACATCTGTCCAAACAGATTGGTTTGCTTATGAGATAAAAAAATAGTCTATTCAATTTAGCTAAGTAATGAAAAGCAAATGACTTCGACATTTTAATGAAATAAAATGCAGTCAAGGGATATGTTTTTATCATAAGGCAGGTCATAGAGCATTTTTTTTAATTACCAATGATAAGCTTTTCTGTTTATGAAAGGGAAAACGAAACGAGCGTTTTGTAAAGCTCGAATGGTGGCATTAATGCAAAAGACTTCTCATGTTTGTGGCCTCTGCTGCATGTGTCCTTGTCAAAACAGAGAGCCACCCAATTAAACCGTAATCCTACCTTGCAGAAACTGGAGCAGACAGTGGCCGGTAATGCGCGGCTGGAGCAGGAGCTCCTCCTCCTCCGCCAGAAGGTGCAGGCCACCCGCGGAGCGACCACCAACGGAATGGGCAACGATGGCTCCCACATCAATGGCGACCAGACTGCCGCCGTTTTGGCCTCGGAATTGGAGCGTGTGCAATCTCTGGTGGGCGATATGCAAAGACAACGTCACGAACTCAGCTCGGCCGTGCGCCAGCTGACGGAGAACTCGACCAGGTTGTACCAGGAGATTGGCAACAAGGAGATGAACGGCGGTGGGTCCACCAATGGCAGTCTGAAGAAGCGCAGCAACTCCACCAGCTGGACGGAAACCGACCTGGATGCCAATATGCTGCGATGTGGAAGTCGTCAGCAGTTGAACGACTCAACCTTGAACCTATCCACGCCCCTCTATGTGGACACGAATAGCTCCACCAAGTTGAGCGACTACAATCGGTACAATGGCGGCGGCAGCAGCGATGCCCTGGAGATGAGTGGGGTGGATAGCGATGGCTTCCTGGACAGCAACCCCTTTGCCCTTGGCCTGGAAAAGCCGGAAATTAAGACGGTGAGGATTGTGAAACGGGAATCGGAACGCAGGAATCGCGACCGCAGTGAAAGGGGTCTGAGCAGCTCTATCCAGAATCTGGATCAGGTCTTGGAGGAGGAGCAGTATGCCCAGCAGCAGAGGGAGCAGCAGCAAATGTACGCCCAGAGCTTGGAGGAGCAGATGAGTAATGGCCACCACAGTCGCTCCAAGTCGCTGCCCCGAAACTACAGTGAGCCCCCGAAGCAGCGGCACAGTCGCCATCAGAATGGCAAGCAGAATGGTCACCACTTCAACGGTGGCTACGATTACGATCGGAACAGCAACTACGAGCACCAGCCACCGCCACCTCCGGCTCCACAGAGCAATGGACATGGATACCACCATCACTCGCATAGGGAGCAGCGGGAGCACCTTAATCCACTGGCCAATGCCTACTTCGCCAAGCAGCTCCAGCAGCAGGTTAATCCCTCGCGGGACAGTGCCCGCGTGGCCCTGCGCACCAAAACGGACTCGCTGCAGAGCCTCAACAAGAGCCTCACGGACATCAGTCCGGAGCCAGTGTTCCAGAGTGTGGCCGCCCGCCAGATCATCAACGAAATGTCCGCCGGCTCGGCATCAGAGGACACCGAGAAGGTGGTGGAGAAGGTGCCACCGCACCACAAACATCGCAGGGCGGTGCCCAGGGAGAAGAGGCGCCACTACACTGCGCCGAACAATGTCAACCAGAAGGCCATGGAGAAGGTGCAGGCCGAAAACGATATGAATCGAAATGTAAGTGGTTGGAAAAATTTACTGGGATACTAAATAATCTTTACAATTTTTTATATGTGAAAGAAATGTAATCTCTTAAATTATATTTGTTTATCCAACTCCTTGACTATTTAAAATTATATTCCTTAGCCTTACAAATATAAAAAAATGGAGTAGCAAAAATAAATATTTCACTACTAAATTCTAAACTTTAAATTTAATATTTAAATTAAATATTAAATCATAATATTAATTAAATTGAATGGATTTATATCATATAAAATTGAAATTTTGATATGATTTAAATGCATTTTATTTAAGTTAAATATGGTAAATGTTTTTAGTAAATTTTCATATAAGTCAAGTCAATTCCAAAAGTAGTTAGATGAAAACTTTAAAAAAAAAAGTTAACCCTTTCATTTTTAAAGTAACTTAAAACCGTAATGGGTGAAAATCAAAGTGCAAACAATTTTGAATTAAGTATAAATAAATATTTGGATAAACTACGAGTTTTTATCAGTGTACAATTAAAAGAACAGCACTTTCAAAAATCACTTAAAATCTATTTAAAGTCAAATCATAATTATTTTTATATTTTTTCACAGAACACAAACTGGCGAGCTCGCGACGATCTGGATATGGAGGTGGCCCTGAGACCTCGAATGAATGCCCCCGATGTGATTCGTTCTGCTTTAGGACAGGGTGAAAAGATTTCGGAGAATACCATTGACAACTTGCTGTTGGCACCGAACAAAATAGTAATACCCGAGCGTTACATACCAGAAACAGTGAGTTAAATGGTAAAATTTTTATTGAATATAATTAACCAATAATGAACCAAACTAGACGCCTGAACTGTCGCCCGAAGAGAAGAAGCGTCGTCAGGAGAAGGTCGAGTCCATTAAGAAAATGCTGTCAGAGGCGCCGATAAGCAGCAATGTATGTCTTGGTTTTTAGCCTGAATATATAAGATTTAAATGGATTTAAATATTTTTCAATATTAATAGGAGAACGAGAGCCTGCCGCCGAGCAAAATCACCGCCGAAAAGAAGCAGCGCGAACACCTGCTGCAACTCAACCAAATTTTGGCTCAGCAAGTGATGCAGGTCAGCAAGATCGTGGCCGGTAAGTTCAGTCAACCACGGATTCATTTAGGGCTCTTACCAGCAGATAACCTTTGTGTTAAGTTTCAATCGATATCCTAAAGCAAACCCCGATTCAATCGTATACGCAATGCCTTGCAAGTTGAGTTTCTGTTCCATGTTTATGTTTTTACTAATATTCTCTCCAAATCGAACATATAGACCCATGAGTTATCTACCTATATGTATGTTACCTAAGCGTTTAATCAGTGTAATCTAACCATGCCAGAAGACCCATCCATTTCCAACTGTCAACTCTATGCTCTTCTAATCTCTATATATGTATCTTCTTTCAACTCTTTCTGATTTCTAGATGATTAATGATAATACATATCATATGCATACCATCTAATCTAAAGCGTTAAGCCCCCGTTCGAATAAGAATTCTAAGATCATGCCCCCCAACTCATTGCGTGCTCACCGGCGTCGTCCAAGTTCATAACCCTTTCTCACAAAGACACACCTCCACCCACACCTCAGACACTCTCAACAGTCAATCATACATTTCAAAACCTGTGGCCCACATTGCCCTGCCATGCATTCACATTCGCATCTGCACCTGACCAGTTTATGTATAATTAATCATTAATTAAGTAACCATCGATGAGAGTTCTATGAACTAACGCAAGAGGGCATATTCCACATATTGCGCATACGCAGTGTTAGCCGGCCCACAAAACATATCAAGCTGGGAGTTTTCACTAACTACATTTTTTAAATAGAACATTTTAATGAACAGTTAAGATAACAATAACTGAAATTTCCGCAAATTGGAATAAATATTTAAATGTATTTCAAATGAAATTCCATAGTGTTTTTATTTTCAGGAACATTTTTATTTCTTTTGTTTTAAAGTAATACCTTATTTATACTATAAATTTGTAATAATATTTTTCTCAGAGTTATACAAATAATAAAAATAGCCAGAGAGTTGGACCAATAAAGATACTCCACCAACATAGGTTTCCTCCACATATCAGAAATTATTATTATAAGACTAACACTTTTATTATGATTTTATCATTTTTGTATTTGCATTCGTATTTAATTTTACATGTTTATTTGTTTGTTTTGCATATTTTTCTAGGAAATCCCACTAGTCACAACTAATCCGCAAGTAGCCTGTCGAGTTGTTTCTGTTCACCTTTTGTGTTTACCTTTGCATTGCATTTACCTTTTGTTCACGTTGTGTTTTGCAAATCGATAACTGAGAGGGTTCGCATCACGATTCGCGATAAATGAGATTTGTTGTTCGGAACATACCAAACATATATGCATACCTAGTACGTTACACCTAAGTATACAGTAACTACAGAAATGACAGCAAACAAGAACACACCCGAAGTTGAGATTTAAAGCATGCTAAACTCACAAAAAAACTCACTCCAAACAAAACGCAAAAATTCACAAACAAAAACACTTAAATAAACAAACAAAAATAGAAAACGACAACAAGAATAAACTGCAACGCAATAGCAACAAGAACAAGAACAACAACAACAACAAGCACAAGAACAACAACAACAGATATACGATTGCGTAAGTCCAGGTTTGTACACGTTTCGATAATACGATATTCATAAATAAACAATAGACGAGTATTGTAGCTTCCAGGCCATGCATTCTATCATATATCAATGTAATCATGCCCAAAAAACTTTGCTTAGCCTTGAAATAAAATATTGGCCAAAATAATCAACCTGCACGCCCTAAATATAATTGTAGAATTTAAGATCTAAATGAAAATAGCACTCCAACACTAATCCACTAAACAACACACAACCAAAACTCACCAAACACTCAAAAAGAAGTAAAACTAGTAGAAGCACAAAATTAAATGTTTTCATTAAAGTGCAAATATATTGGAAAATTAAATAAGCAAAGGGATTAAAATTATACCTACAAAAATATTAGAAAAAGCTAGTCCGAAAATAACATAAAAGTCATGACAAGGGGAATAAATATAAAAAAATAATTTTTTCTACAAACTTATGACATGAAATTCTGTATAATAATATTTTTTTATATATTTGACCAAAACAAAAAAAACGAGAAATGCTTGATAAAGTTTGCAATTTAATTTTCACATAACGAATTTCACAAAAAGTCCGTTTCAAAGAAAATCAAATTCTACAAGAAATGTTTGCGAAAGTTTTCAAAACCAATTTAATGCAAATTGCTTAGTTTCTAAACAAAATTTCTGCACTGCCTAACATGCGTATAAAAGTTGTCCAAAAGAGTCAAAAAGCGATAAATCGAGTAAGTATAAGCTCAAAGCACTAACAAATCAGCTAAGACAGGAGTAGCAGCAAACAAGAAATGTTTCCAACAACAAGAAAAGTTTCAAAAAATAAAAATACACGAAACAAACATACACGATATAGAGTATACTTCCAAATGGTTATCGGTGTACTTTTTTATACTACAAACTTTTACAGCACGCTTGGGAAGGTTTTTGGTCTAAGAAAATATACATTTCAGACGTGGTGAACTAACTTTATGCCCTCTTTGTCAACCTACAGAAAAAGCCATGTCGAAGGCGGCCGAAAGATCGAATCAGGATGACGAACACCGATCGGAGTCACCAAGCGAACCACTGCCGATATTCCAACAACGCGACAACTTTTACAGCTAAACGACTACGTCAACTAACTAACTAACTCCGATTAGCGAATATATATTATTCAGGCACAATATCCGCTGCATTTATCTTGAGAATCAAACTAGAAAATTTGCTAACAATTTTAACCGAAATCGTATCAATTCTTTAATGTGACTGAGTTATAGGGGCGTTATACTATATCTGTTGAAAAGACTTTGGAAAACATAAATCAGAGACGGGGGAAAAAACGAATTTTTGTGAGGCGATTGTTATTGCGTAAAAGATACTAAGCATATTATTATATAATATATATACATATATATATAAAACATATACAATATGGAAATCAAAGATTCAACATATCACTGTAAGCGTGTTACAAGTCATTCAAACGATATCAATTACACACAATTAGCGAGCGTTCTTGAACTGTAGGAAAATCGATCGGTATATCCGCATTGGGTAAGCAATTATGTACGATTTAAATCAGAGTTGAGGCGAATCAAATACGTTCCTGAAAGGCTTACAAAGTAGATGGGCAGGTCAAAACTTATTCACGACAACTAATACAATAACTTTAAAGACTTTTGTAACGGACTTTTCGAGAGTAGCGCATTTTTCTCTACAAAGGAACAAAAAATCAACCAACCAACCAACCAACAAGCAGTGAACTACTTTTGGAGCCAATCTTATTGCATTTGATATGAACAAGTTTTTAAGATCAGTCAGCTAAATATCAACAGCAGTGGCATCGAATCGTTAGTTAGAGACTCGATACCGAACCCGATATCATCAATCCTATAGACAAAAAAATAGAACGCACAGCGCACTCAAAGCACTTCGAATCTTCGCCACTTTTCCCAATACGTACCTATCGCAATTATAAATAATGGATTAACATAAATACACACAACTGAGGAAATATAATTAAATTGTATTTAAACGAGAACATATAAATGGCAACGCTGAATTACGACATGCATATATTAATTTAAAGCTATACATATTTAAACGAGCATAATGCTATAATATACACAATCGTACACATAATTATTTAAATGTAGGTCAATTAGCCAGGCAATTAAAGGGAAGCGGTTGAAATCAAATATTTGATCATGTTGATGAATGTTTTTAAACAATTGCAATACAAGTCAATGGATAAAATTATACGCAATCGCTGGTTGAATTAAATGTCTATGTAACTTTAAAAGTTAATAAAATTGCATAGCTCTATTCACAATTATACATAAATGAATAATCGTACTAACCCACAAGAACAACGACTATAAATTGTTAATAGAGAGGAGAATCTAAATGAAAACGATCCCTGCAAAATTGTACAAAAATATATTTTAAGTTCATAGTTTTTAGTTGTTATTATCTATTTGCTACGTATGGTTTAAGGTTCTTTTATCATTATCATTAAGTTCCCAATGATTCCACAAGTTGTTTGTACATTTCGCGGTGCTATATGTATGTGTATATGTAAATTATTTTCTGTCAAGTTTTCCCTTAAGTTTGTGCACCCACAGAAAAAGTTAGGGCAAAGTCAAAGTACATATAAAGACACGGTCAGAAATTTAGATTGTCGGCTTGAAATTGCTACTGCACCAGGCATAAAAGCACGCATACTCCCTAGTTACCGAAAATAGGAGGGAAAAACGTTAAAAAAAAATCACACTCAACAAATATTTATTGCATATATATATAAATATACATAAACATATACATACAAACTGTACGTCATAATATGATAAGAGTTGAAGACGATAAAACTGCGAACGAGAAATGTTATCAATAAAGATTATAGTTGAAAATTCAAATGCGTCTTTGTTTCCATTGTAACAGCCCGAAGGTTTTACGGAACAGGAACTCGACTGGTCACTTATAGCATTACTGGCCAGCCTTATGACGAATCTCGGCCCCAATTGCCGGCTAAATTCAAGATCAATGTTAAGGGGCGGATTCTCCGTCGTCATGAATCACAATGAGTCCAGGCGTCGACAGCTCAACATTGTATATTTTGTTTTGAATTGTGTGCTGGGCCGACGCTTCTGGCATGACAAATAGACCCAGAAATCGACGCGTAAGCTGTCTCTGCGGCATTGTGCGGGCGGGTAGATAGACATGTCTGGAGAAATGTGGAGCTTTCGATAACTTTCTAAAAACAGCCTTATCACTGTTCGATATCAAATTAGCATAATCGTGACTCTTGCGGCTCAGCGAATCGCCCACAAGGTGCTCAGTAATAGTGAAATTGATTTAAATATTTGAAGTACACATAAAATATAACATATTAATTTAGTTCTTTCTAGAAAATCAAATTCAAGTTGAACAAAAATGTTTAAAAAAAGTTTCCATAAAAACATTTATGGTTCTTTCCATGTATTTTTTTTAATTCCTTACTATAAATTAATATTTAGTAAATTATAAACAACTTTTTTAGCTATGGAAAGGAACTCCCTTACTTTTTTAAAAAACCAATAACATTCAGTTAGTTATTTTAAAGAACAAATTGCTTTCCGGTTCTTCAAGTAATACCTTTTGAAATTCATTAAAATATGTGAACTTTTTATAAGTGTCTTAGATTTTAGAGTTAAATAAATTACAATTTCCGAAATCAATTGGTTAAAGAAAGCTTTTATATCAAGTTTTCTATTTTAAGTGTATGTCTTAACAATTTACTTCAAATACGTTAATTTGTAAGGTTTTCGCTTTGTCGGACAACCTCACTCAATGAGGTTCAATTCAGCGACCGCAAAATTAACAACACTTTGTCACATTAACTGGCAATTAATGTACGTTTGTGGCTATTCCGTATCACCATCGGTGAATTGCAGGCCGGGCTAATTACAAAACGCTCAAAAGACCACCGAGTTATGAGTGTAGACGCGTATGTAAATACGGATGGAGTATGAAAAACCTGAATTATCTTTAACCGATCAGGTTTATGGCGTCGAGCACTGATGATGCGCACAAAAGCAGCTCGAAATCTGAGTGAGTAAGGCGGCAGCAGATAAAAGCCCCGACTTGCGACATTGTCCAAGTATTAATTGTGCGGAATAAAGTGAGTCGCCCCGTGAGATTTAGTCGATGTTTTGCGGCTAAAGAGTGTGGTTCAAGCGAAACATTCAAGTAAGATAAACTGTTGAACTGGAGCAGTCCCTGGGATTCGGAATACCAGTATGTTAGCCTCAGTTCCCGCCCGTGTAAGTCCAGGCCGTAAATTGCCAGCCCAGCGCAACCCCATTTCAATCGCATATTTCACACAGCTGGCGCTGTTCGCCGTGATAAGCTCGCAGACTCTGCAGCTGCTCCAGGCTGCTCCCTTCGCAGGAATCGAGAACGCGTCAGTATCCGTATCTAAAGTCCCCTTTTTTTTGTCCGCTTCACCTGGTTTGTTTTTTGTGTCTCCCGTTTACAGTGCCTTTACCAGTCAAGATTTATTGGCCGAGGAATCGGCGCCCGTCCAGCACTATCGGCACCGTCGCCATCACGGGGACGGCAATTACCATGGACACGGCCATGGCCACCACAAGCGGCACTGGGATCACCACTTTCCGGATTCCGACTACCATCACCCCCAACATGGCGGACTTGGATTAGAGCATCCACCACATGGACCGCCGCCACACTATGGTCCACCCCCTCACAGATTCGAGCCACACGGCTTCGAACCATTTCCGAACACCTTTGGAGCCCCTGAATATGAGGAGCACCAGCGGCCGTTTAAGGCGGACTTGGAGCCCTTTAAGGGTAAGCTTTAACTACGATAAGACATAACTCCTATTATGTAAAATAGCATTATCGGCATGTCATGAAAAGAAACAATCAGTGGCGTTCATACTTTTAATTTCATTTTTTTATACTCGCAGTAAAAAATTTCTTGTTGCATACTTTTTTAATGCACCATTTTATATAATTTCTCACAGTGGAGGTGGGGTTTGTTTTTAATAAGTAAATACAAAGTATTTCATTCCAGAGCAGTGGGTGCGGGTTATCTTATTGTTTATTCTTATTTTTAGTTAAAAACTTGTTTTCACTATCTTTCTGATAACCGTGTTTGTCTTGTTTTTGGATTTTTTTATGGCCATGTAAACGCTTTCTCACAAATGATGCAAAATAGTGGTCTTAAATGGGGAGTCTTAATAACTAAGAACGAAATTCATAGCGCAAAATAGCTATTATTAGTGAAGGATTCTAAATATTAGTATTACAATAATAAGTATTTTAATAAGTATGTTATATTTTTATCAATATATACTTTAAGGAAATTCTTTTTTTTTTTAGCGACTGAAAAGAAAGCCTTTATAAGTCAACGAAATCTTTATAAGAACCATTATTCTTTATCAAGCCCAATTAAAAGGCAGGTCACAAATAATTGCAATTATTGCTTGCAGATGATAGAGGAGGATCTCAAGTGGGCCCCATAGAGTCCGGACCAAGTAGCGTAGCTCCACCACCCGCAGCTCCAGCCACATCGCCCTCAACCACCACCCGCACCACTAGATCCACCACCACATCCACCACTGCGGCACCGGCACCGGCACCGGCACCGGCACCCATCAGTTCCAGCAGTGAAGAAGCCGCCCCGGCCATCGACATTCGCATTGGCTAACGACCTAGAACTTAGCCCCGATTCCATTTTATATCTTGTGACATTAAAGTTGCTACCTAAACCACAAGCTATCTATCCATTACCATTATAATCGGCCAGCGAAGCCTGGACAGCTGGATGCGCACAGCGTAACATTACCCAGGCCACTTACAGGGATCTTCTTTTGGGCCCTGCCTGAAATATGGTAATTCTGGAGCATAAACAACGGCGGGGGGTTGACAGTAAAGTGAGATAAAATGCGAATGCAAAACAATCGGAAAGAAAGTGGCAAAACAACAAGCTGAACTGATCTGGAAATGGGCACAGTCAGTCAGCAGAAACACAAAAGCCCGTTCTTCGCCCCTCCGCGACCATGCCCCCCTCTTTTTCAGTGCTTCTTCGGAGAATCGCACCTCTCACGCACTCTACGCAGGAACAAAGGCGCAATCCAAGAACCGGACTGCAAAAAGAGTATTTTGAGCCAACGCCTCCCACTATAAAAGTCGAGCTGATCGAGAGCTCGACTGTCATTTGACGCCAAACGCGCGTCGCACGCACAACGCTCGAGATTCCCCCCGATTTCAGTGTCTATATATATTTCTACACGATATATTCAAGTCTTGGCCGATCTTCGTTGTGTGGAGGAGCATTAAGAAATGGGTAAGCCTGGCCGTGCATACAAAGTGCAAATCGGTGAATGAACTTGGGGTGTGCAGCATTATGGACACATAGCCTTAGCGGTTCCATAAACACAGTCCCTAACATTTGATCAACAAGAGACTCGGACTACATTCAATTATAAATGCACGTCACGCAGATCTCGAAAAACGAGTCGTAAGTGGGAATCGGGAGAGGCTTTAACGATTCTTTTACTGAGAAATAACAAAGCAACGCGGATTATTCCTGAAAGGTCTCGGGACTAAAATAAAATAATGGCAGTGGCTTAAAAAAAAGCAACGTAAATATTTTACTTCAAAAGTGTGTAAAGTAAAACTCTTGCCTAAAGCCTAAAAAACTATTTAGGCATTGGATTTAACTATACGAATGATAATAATATTAAGTTCTTCTTATTTCTATACGTTATTATATGATTTTTAAAATTTTTCTTAAGAAACGATTAATTTCAAATGTAAATTCGATTTTTGGTTTATATCCCATTTAGTGAATCATATAGCGCTCCTGCTCCTGGGAGTGATATGTTCCTGGCCAATTGCAACGCTGGCCAGTGATCAGCCCTCTCGAATTGTCTGCTACTTTAGCAACTGGGCAGTGTATCGACCTGGAATCGGACGCTATGGATTGGAGGATGTGCCTGCCAACCTGTGCACTCATCTGATTTACTCCTTCATCGGTGTCAGCGACAAGAGCTGGGATGTCCTGGTGATCGATCCTGACTTGGATGTCGATCAAGAGGGCTTCAGTAAGTTCACACAATTGAAAAAGAGCCATCCCAATCTGAAACTGCAGGTGGCAGTGGGTGGCTGGGCCGAAGGTGGCTCAAAGTACTCCCAAATGGTGGCTGTTCGAGATCGCCGCCAGAGTTTCATACGTAGTGTGGTACGCTTCATGAAACAGTACAACTTCGATGGATTCGATTTGGACTGGGAGTATCCGGGAGCCACGGATCGCGGTGGCTCCTTTGGGGATAAGGACAAGTTCTTGTATTTTGTTCAGGAGTTGCGACGAGCCTTCGATCGCGAGGGTCGAGGATGGGAGATCACCATGGCTGTGCCGGTGGCCAAATTCCGGCTACAAGAGGGCTACCATGTCCCGGAATTGTGCGAGTAAGTAGAAATCATTTTGGGGCTTTGATTATTGTATACTTGAGAAATCTTAAGGCATTCCCACGTTCACTTTTAATTCTAACAGTTTCCGCTACATCGTTTTTTAAACCTACTTAAAATAATTTTAGTTTGAGGTAAAATCTTTTATCTTAATGCTGATTAAGAAAAATCCCAAATAAGTTGCACAATGATTTGACTAACAAATGGTTAATGGTTTTTAACTTATCGTTTTTTACACGTTTTGAAATCTTAGGTAATATATCAGGGACAAATATATTTTGACTGTGCAAAGCCAAAAACTTCGAATCCCGCTGATTTATTTTCGCACATTGCAGATTGCTGGATGCCATTCACGCCATGACCTATGACCTGCGGGGAAATTGGGCCGGATTCGCCGACGTGCACAGTCCGCTGTACAAGCGAAAACACGACCAATACGCATACGAACGGCTGAATGTGGTAAGTGAGATACGAAGAGATCAAGGGAGAGGGGGGATGGGCTGCTGATTGTGGTGCCAAACTAATTAGCGTCGCCATTCAAGAACGACGGCCTTGCATTGTGGGAGGAGATGGGCTGCCCGGCCAACAAGCTGGTGGTGGGCGTCCCGTTCTACGGCCGTACCTTCACGCTGAGCAAATCGAACAAGAACTACAACATGGGCACCTACATCAACAAGGAGGCGGGTGGCGGAGCTCCGGGTCCTTATACCAATGCCAGCGGCTTCCTGGCCTACTACGAAATTTGTACGGAGGTGATGGACAAGTCGAAAGGATGGACCGTGGAGTGGGACGACGCCGGAATGGTGCCCTTTACCTACAAGGACACCCAGTGGGTGGGCTACGAAAATGAGGCGTCCGTCCAGATCAAGATGGACTACATCAAACAGAAAGGTTACGCCGGCGCCATGACGTGGGCCATCGATATGGATGACTTCCATGGAATGTGCGGCAAGAAGAACGGCTTGATGCAGATCCTCTACGATAACATGAGGAGCTATCGCGTTCCGGAACCAACAAGGGAGACAACACCGAGGGTAAATATTGACTCCCCAATCGATTGGTTAGATTATTGAAATTTCCTATTTTTCAGCCCGAGTGGGCAAAGCCGCCAGCAACTCCTCCAAATCCGGATGAGGGTCAATTAGTCCAGACTGAACCAACGACGACCACCACAAAGAGGCCAAAGCCAAAGCCCAAGCCAACTTCGAGCCTAGTAAGCCCAACATCTGGACCTGTGCCAACCGTGGGTAGCACAACCCAAAAACCAACCACAAAGGTAACAAAAAGAACATTTTTTCGGTTTTAAATATGTAAACCAAATAAACGTTCAAGCCTTTTAAAAATAGTTTGAGCTGAATGGAACATAAGAAGTGTGTCAATAACTATTATTGCTTAATACTATACTTTTTACTCTTAAGCCTCTTAACTTTTTCAAGAATTAAATTAGTAGATTCAAAATAGAATACCAGTGTTATTTCATTTTAAATTCTTTAATTTTTTTTAGAAACCTAAAAAGCCCAAGAAGACAACCACCAGCACCACCACAACAACAACTCCTGCTCCGGAAAAAAATACTGAAGAGCCCTTGGAAGTTGTAGATCCCGCACAGCCAATGGAACCCCAGTTTGATCCCAACGAAATCGATTGCACCAACCGAGACTTTGTGCCACATCCCAATTGTCGAAAGGTAAGTGGAAAACAGGTGACACAGTGATTTGTTGTAATAATATATATTGTTCGATAATAATATATCCTTCCCCCCAAAACTAGAGATTCATACAAAAACACAAATGTAATTTTAATTACTCATAATACCATTTTCTCCCACAGTACTTCCGGTGTGTCCATGGCAAGCCCGTGGAATTCGAGTGCAAGGAGGGAACGGCCTTCCACACGGTCCTGAATGTCTGCGATTGGATTGAGAATAGCGATCGCTACTACTGCACCCGCACGAAGAAGAAGCAAGAGGGTAACGAGGCCCACTAACTGTCCCAAAATACATATTTCTAAATTATTTAAAACTCAAAATCTAGCATAAGGTGGGAAAATCTTTATTTACACTTAGAAGTAGGTGTCTAAGTATTTTAATTTAATAGCATTGTAGAGACTTAAAGTTGATCGAGACGAAAGCAATAAAAATAAATATGACTTTAAAAACCAATAAACCAAGCACTAAAGCACTATTAGGGGTGTGTGCAATCGTTTTGAGAATAAAACAATGCGTGATGGTGCATAACGAGTCTTACATAAAGCCCCAATGAACAGGGGATTACGTATACGTAATGCTCCCCTGCCCTGCGGCAATTTGTTCGAAAATTTGCCATTTCTAATTACGCTAATAAACGCAATGGCTTGGGACACATTTTCACTTGTCCGCGGCGACGTGAGGTGAGGTGCACCGAGGATGGTAGCCTTGGAACACAACCAGCGAACAGCTGTTCGTGCAATCAACCATACAAATGAGCAATGATAAATGCTAAAGCGAAATGTATAATTTCAATCCTTAACATTTGATTTTCACCATCTCAACTCGTGTGCGGAGAGCGTGGGGGAAATGGAACTTAAGCATTTGTGACACGAAACAAATCGCAAAGAGCCCAAAATCTTGATTTCGAAACATTATTTTTTTTTGGCTCAAATGATGCTCTGAGCAATATGCGGAATGAGCACCGCATTGTCTATAATTAAACATTCTTCCAAAACGAAAGTGCTGAGAGAGAAAGTGATCAAGTGCAAAGGAAATATTCAATCAATCAAAGAACGTTAAAAACAAAAAACAGAAAATAAGTAAAATACTTAAATAATTTAAAAAAAAGTTTCCAACTCGAATGCTATTAATTTCCCTTAGGCTTTGCCCAAGAATCCGCCGGGTTGTGCCCAAAATGCCAGCAGCGAGCGCCACCCGGCGAGAGGAAATTAAAAAGGAAAATGGAAAACACTGAAAGAGCATTAGGCGAAAACCCACTCACTCACTCAACTGTGTGTGCTTTTGACAAAAATTCGTGCTACGAAAATATCAAAATCGAATAATTTTCGCGGTCACAAGGTAAATTCATGGTATATGCATGTTGAGTTACGAATTGGTTTTGGACCGGGAGAGATCGTCTCGTATACTCGTGTGCGGCACACCGAAATTTCCTCCTTTCAGGCTAGATAGAAAATAGATGTGATAGGTGTTGGGAAAATTCGAGCTGGCCCTGTTCAAAAAACGACACGCACACGACGTGCGCAGACGACCAAAACGAAGACGACCACGACGGCCAGAAATAAGCAAATTATTTAGCTAACAATCGTCGAAAGGGACACTAAGGATTACCCAGCAGACGATTGTTGGTTAAATTTTGCTATCGGCAGCGCGAGAATTCTTTAAAATAATACAATTACTTACTGTTGTTGATAACTAATCGATCTGCAAAGTGAAAGAAATAACGAACAAGTGCAAAATTCGAAATCCATTAAAACTGTGACAAAATTTGTGCGAGCCTATATAACCTATATATAAACACCAAATTTCCAACACACATCCTATCCCATACGCATATACATCTAGCTAAAAAAATTATCCATTGGCTCTCTGGCCTTAAATAATCGTTGGTTTTCGAATTCTTTACTCTTTCATTTAGTGCATTTAAACGAGCGCATATATAGCGGATGCATATATATGCAGAATACGAGCAAAAGTGTTAATTTTAATTTTCCATAATTATTCATAATTACGGAAAACTTGCAAGGAGAATTTATGACGTGGCTAAAGTGCTAACCAAGCTGGAAACTCGAGGATAATTTGTTGCTTTGATTATTATGGGGCGGCTAACCATTTGGTTCCTCCTGGGACTAACGTTACTCGCCGTCTCCAATCATGGTGAGTATTCTTAGTATCATAAATATTCGCGCTTCCTTTCCACTTCGTTATGTAAGGCAAAAGGGCGAGGGGGCGCTTTCAAATTTCTTGACACTTTTTCACGCAGCCTGGGCAGGCATTATGCAATTTTATAACAAAAAGCCAAGAAAAACAGAAGGAAAACGTCTGAAAAAAAAAAATATGTATTAATATACGTTTAAAAATATTTGCCTGAGTTTGTGCGTTCTCTATATTTTGTGGGTCGGTGTTGGTGTCTGCAAACGTCAGTGGACGACACTTTGGGCATTGGTATATTAGAATAGCCCCGTACACTTGACTTGGCCAACCACTAGTGGCAGCACAGATACAGATATAAGTTTGCCGACTTTTTTTCGGGAGAACTGAGACTTCTGCGCCGCTTGGTCGCTCTTCGTTGTCATCGTTTGTAATATTTTTAAATTTAGAAATTTTTAAGTTATTTTATTTGCGCTCTGTGAGCGCTTTCCATCTATCTATTTTCCCACCCGTGTGTGCGAAATGTCTCTGTATATTTTGTTTGGTTTGCTCAAGTTTGCAAAACAGACACAGAAAAAAAAAGGGAAATGGATAGAAAAATGAGAAATGGCGCAAATGCCGTGTACTATATATATTATGGGCTGGGATGGGCTCGATTGCAGCAACATAAACACAATATGCATGCAGGCGGTCGGCGAAATTTGTATAAATAATTCTATCAATGCGGTTAGCAATGAAATGCGAAATTGTTCAAATAGCTTCCTGCCCACAAACGCCCTGAAATAAATTTATTCATTTAATTCATCCGACGACAGGGAACCTGCACATTGAAAGCCGATAAGCAAACTCATTTAAATTGGGCTTAGATTGTTGCCTTTTGATATATGGCCAAGTCAATCATTTGTCCTAATTGTCTGAAAATACGAAAGTAATTAGCCGAGCGACCTCACCACCAGTCCGTCACTCAAAAGACGACCTTCCATTACCAAAAAGAAAATTCTGAAGATGTAGAATATTCCATTGCAAATGGAACGCCCCCGCATCCGGATTTTCGGAGCAGTAAGGTGGCCAAGAGAAACAAAAATAAAGAAGTAAGGCCAAAGTGGGCGAGCAGCCAACAGAATGGTACAGAAATTTACTCATCCACAAGCTGGCGAAATGTGTTTGAGTTTTCATCTTTTAAAAATAAAATTCATAAATCCGCCGCATATATTCCGAAGTGTGTATGTTTGTGCACTGCGAGTACCATAAATAATGTCAAGTTTGAACAGATAGAATGACCTCGCCGTTGGCGCTGACATCAAACTGAGAAAGTGCGGCCATTGTTCTTGGATGACAAGATGAATATAGCTTAGGGCCTTTCTTAGGGCTTCCTGGTTTCTGGGCAATACTCGGATTACAAATTGACCTGTCATGCTCTTCTCCACAATTTTCAGTTGGGTTTGTCGATGCCGATGTCGGACCAAGCGAATCAGAATGTCGACCCTACATTGAAAAGGCCATACATGAATTGAAAACAGGTAAGGGCTTTTTTAAAATATTTTACGATCTAGTTCTTTGTACATAAAGAACATAAGTGGATTTTGTTTTTAATTACAAAATATTAAGTTGTTTTGAAACCAGTTAAATGAACTGCTTAAAATCTTAAAGTCTCAACAGTATTATTAAGACAATCGGTATTATACATTTCAGTGTCATACCACATAATAAATTTGGTTAAATAGGCCATTAAGATATATCTAAAGACCAGAATGATATCATTTTGGCAATTCAAAAAACCTTTTTAAATGAGTAACACTCAATTTATAGTCTTTTTTGAGGATATTTCATAAGCATATATATTTTCAGATGGTGTCAGAGATGGATCTGGAGAACTGCAATCCGATCAGCCACGTGGGGACGACGACGATGATGACGATGATGGTGGGCTATCCGCGGTTGATGAGAAAGAGACGATTGAAATTGAAACTGTCGAATTGGATTCCACAGAGGACGCGAAAAGTGCCAACGACTTAGATGGAGATGGTATTCCCGATGACGAGGACGATGATATCGATGGGGATGGCATACCGAACGACAAGGACGATGATATCGATGGAGATGGCATACCAAACGAAGAGGATGAGGACATTGATGGCGATGGCATACCGAATGATGAGGACGACGATATCGATGGGGATGGTGTGCCAAACTCCAAGGACGAGGACATCGATGGGGACGGTGTGCCCAACCATAAAGACGAAGACATCGATGGAGATGGCAAGGCGAATCACGGTGAGTTTGGTCGATCAGGGAATCGACTTATATATTAAATTCCTAATCTAATCCCACAGAGGATGATGATCTAGATGGCGATGGCACCCTAAATCATGGTATGTTTTAAATTACATTTCGTTTTGTCCATAAAAATTAATTTGCCTAATTAAAAAGCTTACATTTTTATATTTCATTATTAGGTTAATTTATTTGTTTTTTTTTTATAAAAAATAATTTGCTTACTTTCAATACCTTTTTTGATTTTCAGATAGCGCTTTAATCTTATTTTAATTTCAGTATCTTAACTTGCTTATGGGTAATCTTAAACAGTACAGTTTTTCATTAATTTTTGAACATTTCAGAGGACGATGATCTTGATGGCGACGGTGTTCCCAACTCGGAAGATGAAGATCTAGATGGTGATGGAAAAGTCAATCACGGTGGGCAAACAAAGTTCTTTTTAGGAGAAATTTATTTATTAATGTTTTGAAATCAACAGAGGATGAAGACCTTGATGGCGACGGCGTGAATAATGACGATGACGACGATCTGGATGGTGATGGCAAAGTAAACCACGGTTAGTATTGTGTAAATCTTCGTTTTAAGCTCTTGAGACTTATTTTAAAATTCACAGAGGACGAAGACATTGATGGAGATGGCGTGAAGAACGAAAAGGATGACGATTTGGATGGCGATGGCACCAACAATTCCCGTAAGCTTAACTTTAAATATATATTTATTAAATGTTTTTTAAACGACCCTAAACCCCTGCAGAGGATGAAGATCTGGATGGTGATGGTGTGCCAAACGAAAAGGACGACGATCTGGATGGTGATGGCATCCTGAATGAGCACGACGGCGATGTGGATGGCGATGGAGTTCCCAATGAGCACGACCACAAGGACAGCGGTGAGAATGCCGATCATGACGACGACGAAGATGAGGACGAGAAGGAGGCGGTCAAGAAGCGCAGCAAACGCGAAGTTGATGCTGCTCCCGTCATTGACATTGAAGCTCCTCCAAGTCCTGCCGAAGAATTCCCCGTAGAGGAGGAAGTCGTCAAGAAGGAATCTGCCGAAGAGGAAGCCGAAGTTGAGGCCGTGAAAGAACAGGAGCCCGAAGAGGAAGCTGTGCAGGAGCAGGAACCGGAAGTAGAGGAAGCCGAACCGGAACCAGTCAAACAGGAAGAAGAGAAGGTCGAATCCGAGGAAGTTAAGGAGGAGGATAAGCCTGCTCCAGTCGAAGAGGCCGAGGAGGAAGTTGTAGAGCCGGAAGTCGCTCCCAAGGAACCCGAAACCGTCCAGGAAGATGCCGTGGAATCTGAGGAAGCCAAGGATGAACCGCAGGTCGATGCTGTCAAGGAAACCGCTGATGATGACGATGAAGATGATGATGACACAAAGCCAGAAGACGAGCTTCTCTGGGTTAGTATCTAAAAAACACCCTTTTAATCTTGAAATACCGATGAAAATATTATTTTTAGGAAGGAATTATCCCCGAAAACCGTCGCAGTCGCCAGCACATCACCGAGCTGCTCCAACTCGATGAGGAGTTCAATGCCCGCGAGAAGGCCACCGACAATGTTGCCGAGATCATCCTGCGGGACATTAAGCGCATCTACGAGAACGCTGTGAAGCCCCTGGAGACTCTTTACAAGTACCGCGACCTGAGCAACCGCCACTTCAGCGATCCTGAGATCTTCTCGAAGCCACTGATTCTGTTCATGGGACCCTGGTCGGGTGGCAAGTCGTCCATCCTTAACTATCTGACCGACAACGAGTACACACCTAACTCTTTGAGAACTGGTACGTATTTAATATAATAGTATCATTTTTAAATTAAGAATCAACCTATTCAATTTTTAAAATATAAAACTAAATAAACGTGTTAAGTCATGGTATGTATGAAGCCTTGTTTTAATATTATATATAGTATATTTCAAAAGATCTTTAAGGCTCATACTTTTCAAAATTTAATTTATTTACACCTCAAAAATTATTTGTTTTAATTTAAGTTGTCTTTTAAAAATGTTTAAAGATATAAAGAATTTATAATGGTGTTTTGTAAAACAATTTAAACTTAAAATTCAACCTATATTAATTATATAAATATTCTTTATTCCAATAAAATTTACCTTAACTGTCTTTCCCCAACCAAAAACAGGTGCTGAACCCTCTCCGGCCTACTTCAACATTCTGATGTGGGGCAACGAGACGGAGGTTCTCGACGGCACCCAATTGGCGGCGGACTACACCTTCTCTGGCCTGCAGAAGTTCGGCCAGGGATTGGAGGAGCGCCTGCGGGGCCTGAAGATGAAGAGCAAGATCCTCGAGAAGGTAGGCTATAGACCCATATCTGGCAGGGCAGATCAGGGATAGAGCTAGTACTAGCTCGTCCGTCAGGTGCAGCCAAGCATTAACTTGTCTCCCAGGGCAGCAGCTCGTCGATTGGGAAACTGCAAATAGCTGGCCATCTGCCAATCGGAATTTATAGCTTTTAGCGCACAGACTGCATTAATTTCGTTATTAATAAATTGATGCGGGCTGCAGTAAGGCAGCGAAGGCAGAGAGAGAATTACTAAATTTAAGCACTTGGCGATGTGCTTTTCAGGTCAACATCGTCGAAATACCCGGCATTCTAGAGGTGCGCAAACAAGTGTCCCGCGTCTTCCCCTTCAACGACGCCTGCCAGTGGTTCATCGATCGCGCGGACATCATCTTTCTGGTCTACGACCCGGCCAAGTTGGATGTGGGTCCCGAGACGGAGGCCATTCTCGACCAGCTGAAGGGGCGCGAGTACCAGACGCGCATCATCCTCAACAAGGCGGACACCGTCAAGCCGGAGGAGCTGTTGCGCGTCCAGGGCGCCCTGATCTGGAACATCTCGCCGCTGATGTCCTCCGCCCAGCCGCCGCTCATGTACACGACCTCGCTGTGGACGCATCCCTACCAGGATGGCGCCCCGGCCCGCCTGCTGCTCGCCCAGGAGCGCGCCTTCCTGCGTGACCTGCGCACGGCCATCGACAAGCGCATCGAGCACAAGATCGCCAGCGCCCGCCGTTTCGCGGTGAGTACTCGGGCGTATGTGTGATATTTATGATAACTCGCTTGGACATGTGCGCTAATTTGGGCAATATGTGACATCAGTTCAATGAATCAGTTAGGGTTCTAAGCTAAATTGTGCATCACGATTTTAAGTGTAATATAATATTATTTACCGGGCGTATACGTAATAATTAATTTGCACCGTGAATCAAGGATGATAAATTAAAATAACAAAATACACATATATAAATGGAAGTACAATTGTTTAAGATTCAATAAAAATTATAATAGTTTGCTTTTAAGCTCAATCACATATTCCAGCAGTCCTTAATGCAAAAGTTTCAAATATCAAATAAATGGATCAATTATTCTTAAATGTCAAATTTGAACTGTAAGATGAACGCTAATTTTTTATATATATGACTAAACTTATCGCATAAGCATGTTAAGCAGAAAATATCTGTAATATTCAGTTTTTGTAAAAGCTGTTAAATATATCTCATTATAAATATTTGTAATCAACAGGTGCGCGTGCGTAACCACGCCAAGATGGTGGACTGCTACCTGAACACGTTCAACAACCACAAGACGCTGTTCGGCAACAAGAAGCGCATTGCGGACGACATTATCGACCATCCGCAGAACTACCACATCTACGAGGGACTCTCCACGCTGACGAATATCTCGCGCTACGATCTGCCCGATCCGGAGGTCTACCGCGACTTCTTCCGCCTGAACCCGCTGTACGAGTTCAAGAAGCTGAGGGACACCTGCACCTATTTCCGCGGCTGCCCGATCACCAAACTGGACCTGGCCATTGCCTACGAGCTGCCCGAGTTGGCCGGCAAGTACAAGAAGATGTCCGAGTCGGCTTTGGCCACCATCGAGGCCCAGCAGCGGGATGGGGATGGTGGGGCCCTAAGCCAGGCCGATCCCAAAAAGACGAGTTGAGGTGTTGGCTCCTCCAGAGGAGAAAACCTGCCATTTAGTTTGTTTTAGGGAGAGATAGGAGAATGTGACATCGGCACCGGTAACCGTCTATAGAGAATAAATATCGAGAAGGGAGAAATGGAGAAAGGCGACGTGAGAGAGAGGGGACACACTTACAGGGCAAAGGAGAAAAGTTTTGTTGTCTTTGTTGAAAAACCCCCAAAATATTGGTAGAGAACAACAGCGCAAGACAGAAAAACAAGGCCATTGTTTCTAGAGAAAGAGAGAGAGTGAGGGATTTAGCGAGAGGGACAGAGCAACGGTTGCCTTAGAAGACTTTTCGAATTCAACCGCGTTGCAGGAGATCTTTATTTTCAATTATTATATTACACTTAACCGAACTGAGAGCTTTATGAGAGGGAAACTAATGCAATATCGAGAGCAAAGCACACACACACACAATAGTTTCATATTTAACCGAGTAGAGAGGTAACATCGAGTCTTTTCTAGGCGAGTAGATCAGCACTTAACCCATACTGAGAGCAATAGCTAATAGACGAACCATCGACGAATTCTAACCCATACACAACCCACATAATCCGACCCCTCATTGGCCAGCATCCCATTACAATTCCCAACTGTCCAGTTTTTTCTTTTCTTTCCTCGAATAGTAGTGGACAACAGCGCAGAGTTTTGATTTTGAAATCTGAGATTTGAGATTTGATTTTAGAGCAAATGGAATTTCGTAAAGTTTTAATTTTTTGTTTTTTGGTTCCTGACCCTGACGATTTTTCGTAGTTGATAAGACTTTTTTGATAAAAGCAAACAGTGAAGACGATAATAAAGAATTTAACATATTTAATCAAGAATGACTTAGACGCATGTGAGATAAAATGAACTTGTTTAAGAGCGTAAGCAGCTCGTTTACATTAAATACAAATAATCAATTTTACACACTGAGAACCTATGTAAAATGAACTGTGAGAGCGGGTGAAATACACAACTAAATAAAACAACGGAAAACCCCAAGCAATTATGTGTTTTACTCAAGCCATTTGATTTAGAAAATCATGACAGTCCATGGAAAGAAATATATATATGTTTAAATAAGCGGGTTAAAGGCGGCAGAAGATGCGCACCAATATTTATTACATAGCACTTCTTGTGCTAAAAAATATTCCTTACAATTGCCGGCAAAATTCAGGGTCCCGAAATACCAACCATTATTTCACTAAAATCAATAACATTTACAATAATGGCCAATCAAAATTGGATGTACACTTTTTAATATCAAAATACCAAATTTTCAAATTTTGTGACGAAAAATGGTTTAATTTAATAAATATACTTTTAAAACGATGCAATAGAAAATGCTTAGCTCACAATAGTTCAAATTTGGCGGATCCGCAGTCGTATAACATTAGGATGACCATCATAAAATAAATTCAGTGTTGCCAGATTAGGGGTTTCCCCCCCATCAAAAAGATGGTCTAGGGAGAATTTTAAGAGAGAATACTATTCAACGTGAAAATTAAAATTAAAATTTAAAGTTTATTGATTTTAAAGAATTTTAATATGCAGTGCCAGCAAGCTTTAATAAAAAAATGACAAAATACAGAAGTTTAACTTTAATTTTCAGTCAATGTAATACATTTTTCCGTCTCCTTCTGCAATAAGAAAGAATGTGATGAATTTAGGGGCAAAACTGGATTTTTTAGGGAGAAATCGGGGTTCTGCGATATTATTTAGGGTTAAGCCGGTTTTTCATCTGGCAACACTGAAATTACCTAACAATATTTGACAACACACCTCCGGCATAGAGTAGTAACTAACTACTTTATTATTCTATGTAAGAATCGGGAAACTGAACATAAACTCACCCGGATTAAGCTGAAAATGCATACGGACCTGTCCGCCCATCTGCACACGCCCGCCTGCAACCAGTTGATTGAGGAACTCCAGGCCTGCCACAAAAACGTGAGTTTATGCAAGGAATTATCAGAATTGGTAACTCTAACTATGGAATCCTACTTCTAGAACGCATTCGCCAAATTCGTGGGCATTTGCAACTCCATCGACGACAAGGTGGTAAAGTGTCTCAAGGGCGAACGAATTGCCCGATCGGCCGCTAATCGCGCCAAAGCCCGCGAACGTCAGGCGAAGTACAAGGAAAAGTTGATCCAGGGCGAGAGTAATTAGAGGACTTGGTCACCCAAGATGTCAGTCCAATCAGAGGATCCGCTGGACCCCTTCTATTTCGAGCACGAGGAGCAGGTGATCTGCGGACAGTCGGTTAGTCCCATAACAGATGGCTACCAGGAGGATTACCCCAGCGTTGTGGATCGCTTCTTCACCAGATACTACTACTTTAAGGGAGAGGTGCCCTACCAAGTGCTCTACCACTCCAATCGCATTTGTCTGATCTGCCTGGCCCCCGATCATCCTGGTCCAGGTCAGGGCATCTCCTCGGTGAACTTCGATATTGGGAACGTAGATCGCAGCCAGAATGTGGTGAAGGGCAAGGGCAAAAAGGGAGGTATGATCCTCCAGCCGGAGTCCACCTTGGCCCTGCTGACCACCGAGAGCGGGGAGACCTACAAGGTGCCCAGCTGCATTCGGGGCAAACTGGTGGAGGTGAACACCGCGCTGGTGGAGGAACCCAAGCTCCTGGAGCAACTGCCCGAGGGAGCTGGCTTCTTTGCCATTCTTCTGCCCAAAATCGAGAACTGCGATGCAATCAAGGCGAGTCTGCTCACACAGGAGCAGTATGAGGCGCGCCTGAAGGTCAAGAAGGAGGTGCTACCCAAAATCGAGACCAGCCATGACCAACAAGACAGTCTCCCGATGGAGGAGCGGGAAACGTAATTCTGACCTTAACTCTCATTGTTAGTCAAGTTTAATAAAGTCTATGTATTAACTTGTATTTTTTTATAAGAGATAAATTTGTTAAAGGACACTTAATTGCAAGGGAACTTATTTACAGTACAAAAAATTATTTTGTAATAAAAATTAATTATTTTTACTATGACTTATAAAATAATTCTGCATAATACCTTTTAAATGTTAGGGAACAAAATTATTTTAAAATCAACTCCTAAAGTGTGTTGTTGTTAATATAATTGGTATCGTTTAATCTTATTAAGCTTTTTTCTGTTTAGTTCATGAGAAAAAGTTAATAAATAATTTTTGATTTTACATTGTCTGTTAACGCGCTTCTATATTTACAAAGCTCTGTTACGCTAACAGCTCTATGCTAAATGGTTGGCAACGCGAAGCAACACGTGTGAATGATAAACAGCTGTTGAAGCCGCATTTTATTTTTATTTGGAAGAGGAACAGTACTAAGTTCTTAAACTAAACAAGCAAAATGTCTGCTAGTAAGCAAAAGAAACTAAATACGATGGAGGTGGACCCCAACGACGAGGACTCCAGTTCCAGCGAGGATGACGATGACGACGAACCGCACCCAGATGCGTACCGAGGCAACGAGGTGAGTGAGGACCCCACAGAACCAGAACAAATATATTTTAAAGTTTAATATTTATTAGGAGGTGCAAATTGACTTCGAGGGTCGTGCTCCAGTGGATCCCGACGCCCAGGGAATATCACAGTTGCTGCAGAGATTGTTCCTACGTGCCCACATCAACTGCAACCAAATGGCGGATCTGATCATAGGTGAGTATGCAAAATGATTGAAAGGTAGGGTTTCTCAAGGGCTTAACACAACATTTGCTGTATAGAATCATGTATACATATTCGACAATAAATGTTTTGGCTTCTCCTAAAACTTAGATCTTCCACTTCCAAAAGTCAGCTCTATTTTCCTTATAAATCAGTCTAAGAAAACGTTCCCTTTTCCCAGCACAAAACTACGTGGGAAGCGTAATTTGCCAGTGCGACGACGAGGGTGCCGAGAGCGAAACGGACGACGAAAACATGGTCGAGGATGGCACTGTCTTCGGGATCACCTCCGTGCTGAATCTGACCGCCAAGAAGGACCAGCCCAGCATCGCTCAGCTAAGAACGTACCTACAAGATCGCGCCAAGTCCCACGCTTCGGAGCAAGTGCAACAGCAACTGAAGGAGCTCCTCGATAGCGAACAACGCCATGTGGGCTTCCTGGTCAACGAGCGGTTCATCAACATACCAGCCCAGATCTCTGTGCCACTGCTGCAGAATCTCCAGCAGGAAATGGAAGCAGCCAAGGCAAAGAAAATGAAGTTCGACTTTGGCACTCTGCTGCTCCTGGTTAAGTTCTACAGAAAAGAGGCCAAGAAGGGAAAACCTGCAGAGGACAACTACACCAATGCTGAGGATGAGTTGCTTTCTGACCGGGCCAAGTTCGCCTTCGAGTATTCCGTGGCTTCTGAGACGGACTCTGGGATGTCTGGTGATTGGCTGGAAGGCGATGCCGTGATGACTCCCTACCGGAAACTTCTGGTCCTGGAGGCCAAGCAGCTGCCACAACTAGTTGACGACATACAGGGCTTCATTAATGGTGAATAAATAATAATTCTGTTGAAGAGTGGTGTTTTTCTAGAAATATAAGAAAATTTAACATCCCAGATTAGGCAGTGTATACACCATGGCATAATACAGCAAAACAGTAAAAAAAAACTATTCTTATGTGTTAATTAATTGGTAATAGCACCAAACTAGTTTTTTAAAAAGACTGCAAGTAATTCGTTTTTTTTATAAACATTAAAGATACAATTTGTGGATGTGTGTATGTAGGATCACAGTTCAGCGAGTGTACTAAATATTCGAACCCAAAGCTTTCTAACTCCATCGCGTCGATTGGCAACGCGGGCAAATGGCAAACAGCTGGCCGGCGTTTGAAAGCTCCGCACATGCCGGCTGGTCTACTGTGAAAACCTTTGTTTTCTGGCCAAGAAACTGCATCACCCGAAGTGGACGTGACTGGCAAGACTCCCAACTGAGCGACGTGAGTAGACTTTGCCTTTGTTGTTTACGGTTTATATCCGAATATCCGAGTTCTAGTATTACATTGCGATCATACTGGCGATTAATCATCGCTCGTCCGATTTGTATTCCACCAAGTTGCCAAGTAACAATTAAAACAAAAGCCCGCTGGCGTTTGTTAAACGTATAAAAAGCTTGGCCACCCAGCCAGAACATTGCAAATCGCACTATAGAGAGTTATCAGAACCGCTCCTTATCGCCTGTTTTCGCTGCAGCGCTTTGCTCCCATCTCAAAACTTGAAGTTCAGTGACGCCCCACTTGCCGACCGACCAAGTCGCATTGCTGCCTCCAAACACTCGACATGGGTATCGAAAAGTGAGTACAAACTACTTAGGTGCTAAATTAGTGGGTGTGCCTAAATTATGGGGGATTAGTTATCTGGCCACGCTTAGCGATCGATTGGGAAAGCTCTCGGAGATTCGCCATCTTTTACAGTCATGGTTAATCGTATAGCCCTCTTGTATACCAAGCCATACCAAAATTATATCTTGCCATATCTTGGTTTTAATTTGTTGTGCATGAAATTCCACACTTTATCTTTTTAAAAAAGATAACAATTCATCAACTGATGTCTGGAGAAATTGTATCGAAAAGGAGAAAGATAATAGAGGAAAATATTAACGTTTTAGTGATAAGGATTCAATGTAAGTGACAACTATTTTATTAATCTGGTCATAACCTAATTTATGGGAGAGTTGGAATAAAGTAGTCCAAATTATTCAAATTTTCTTTAATTTTTGTTGGTCATACAAGGTCCATGCCAAGATAAGAATTTAATGTTTCATTGTATTCAAAATATTTACTTATAAAAACTTTTTAAAATGTAATTTATGGGATTGTTGGAAGTAAAATGGACTGTTTAATTATTTTTGGTAAAACAAGGTCTAAGCTAAGATATTATGTTTTTAGATTTTATTTATAGTTATATAAATTTGCCATAATGTTGTTTATTGTAAATTGTGTGCTGGTACACCTTTTTTTCCAAATTGGGAAATTAGTTTATGATTGTGGTTATTCCAAGTGCTTATCGCAATTCTTTATAGCACTTTAAATTAAGATAATCTCAGCGCCAGGAATGAGGCTAAAATGGAAGCAATACAATCTTAAGACATGGGCATGGTCATTTTTAGTTCAATGGGGATTTTATTTCAAAAATACGAAAATAAAGGCTAGGGGTTGTTGTGCAACGTGAGCGATTGTATCAGTTAATAAAACCCCTATGACGTGATAAAATGCAGTGCAATCAAACGCCATTGCATATATTGTTGACACCCAGAAATGTTTCTTAATGAATATCAATAACAATTCCGCACAATTGCGCACTTTATGTGTGCTTCCCCAGAATGCTTCCATGCACCCTCCGGCTGAACAAGCTGATGAGCCAGGCGGGCAACGACTGCCTGTGCATCATCGATCGCGACGCGGTCCCAAGTGAGCTGAAGGCGGCCTTCGAGGAGCACCGCAGCTACGACAAGTCCTTCGACAGCAGCATCTCCTGCTTCAAGGCGCCCAATGTGGACCAGCCGGTGGTCTATGCCCCCGTTTCCGAGCTGACCGACTACGATGATGTGAGGAGCTACCAGGAGGCGGCCAAGCAGTCCATGCAGAAGGTGCTCAAGGTGGGTATTGAGAAAACTATCTGTACTTATGATTCAACTTACATTTTTGAATTTTAAACCAAACTAATAATGATACAAAATATAATACCATTATGTTTTCTGTTATTTTCTTATTTTTTAATTTGAATTTTTTTTTAATTTGATACATATTACCTCTCTTAATTTGCTGATACAATATTCATTGAATCAAAAAAGTAAACTAAAAATATAATATATCGACAAGGCAAAATCAAATAAAAATTCGATGAAGCGATAATAATAACTAATGTCCACTTTCCCTAGGCTGGCTTCCAAAACCCATTGTTGTACGTGCCCAAGGTTAAACGTTTCCCTGAGGCCGAGCTCTGCACAGTTCTTGGTGCCCTGGAACAACTTTATGTGGTAAGTATATATAGTATAAAAATAAATTAAAAAAATAAATTGTTAATAGACCCATTTTAAATATACCTTTCTTTCAGCCCATTCAACTGCGTGAGGCAGGATCTTGCAAGAACTCCCGCGTGACTGAGCTCAGTGTCCAGATTAACGATCCCAAGGCGGAGGAGATTCTTAAGGAGGCTTTGATTTTGGAGGCCGGTCGCTTTGTGGCCCGTGACATTGGAGTTGGAGACCCAGAGCGCATGACACCAATCCAGGTGGAAAAGTACATCAAGCCGCTGTTCGACAAGCTGAACGTAAATGTGATCAGTGACTCGAAGGTCCTGGAGAAGGAGTATCCCCTGTTCGCGGCTGTGAATCGGGCAGCAGATGCCGTGGAGCGTCACCGCGGTCGCATCATTTTCCTGGAGTACAAGCCCCCGAAGCCGGCGAGGAAGACTCTGATGTTGGTGGGCAAGGGTGTGACCTATGACACCGGTGGCGCTGACATCAAGGCCGGCGGAGTGATGGCCGGCATGTCGCGCGACAAGTGCGGAGCAGCCGCTGCCGCCGGATTCATGCAGGTGGTCAGCAAACTCCAGCCGGATGACATCCATGTGGTGGCAGCCCTGTGCATGGTCCGCAACTCGGTGGGAGAGGAGTGCTACGTGGCCGATGAGATCATCACCTCGCGAGCTGGTCTCCATGTGAGGATTGGGAACACCGATGCCGAGGGCCGTATGTGCATGACCGATGCTCTCTGCCGGATGAAGGAGATGGTCGTGGAGCAGAATCTGCCGGACCCGCATCTCTTCACCATTGCCACTCTGACCGGACATGCTTTTATCTCGGCCGGCGAGGGCCAGTCGATTGCCATCGACAACAGCGTGGCCCATCGCGAGGATCACGCCAGGAAACTGCAGGCTGCTGGTCAGGCCTTCGGCGAACCCTTCGAGGTTTCCGTACTCCGTCCCAGCGACTTTGCCTTCAATGCGGGCAAGGTGATTGGCGAGGATCTGGTGCAGGCCAACAATGCACCATCGGTGCGGACGCCTCGAGGACACCAGGTGCCCGCTGCCTTTATGATCAAGGCTTCGGGATTGGACAAGCACGGATTGGACTCCCAGCTGCCGATCAAGTACACCCATATTGATATTGCCGGCAGTGCCGGTGAACACCCAGCGATGCCCACAGCTGCCCCTCTTGTTTCCTTGGTGAAGACCCATCTGACGAAGTAAATACTTTGAGCATATATTCATCGCGGAGTACGCCATCTCGATGCCAGAACCCGTACTTACACAAAAATACGCATAGCTAACCAACAATATTATCTTTCTGTCCACTAACTGCATCACGTTTTTTAATAAAAGCAAAATCAATAAAGTATCAAGTGTGTTGATTTAAGGATACTACTAACATTTGAGATTTAAGAAATTCAATATCAATTGCCTAAATTAATTGTTGTTGAATTTATCAATTTCAAAAGGAAATATAGTACCGATAACTAAATGATTTTATTGCATATTTTTTTATATGCATTTATTTATAATTTCCATAATGGAGAACAGATCCCAAAGGGCATATAAAAACCGTCATGTGCTGATCCAGGTCTTATGGTATTTATTTATTTTTATTATTACTGCATTTCCCTGCTTCATTGTTTGCATAATTGGCGGGCGCCCTGCATTTCGAGCTCTTGTTGGCCATATACGGCTTTTAGCTCTTGGCTCTTCCCCGCCGCAGCCTTTTCTTTTGAGCGCCTTCTTTTTCAGCTTGGCCCACAGCCTAGAACCCGTTAGTCGCTTCTTGGCCATGCTCTTCGTTCTTTGGGCCTCGTTCCATGGAGCTTGGGCGTGCAACTTGGGTACGCCACTACTATACTAGGGGCCCGCTTGTCAGCTGTCGCATGTGTCGTGGTACCGTTATTGCCTGGCTTCGGAAACTCGGTCAAGAGTGTCTCATTCATGCTGTGATTGCATAATATACCGTTGGCTCACGTTGGCCTTCTTCTGGAAGACTGGAGGACTGAAAGACTGGAAGACTTCTTTCTGCAGCAGAGTCTTCCCGTTCTTGGCCTTCTCCCGGCGGCCGAAGAAGCAACTTGGTTCTTCCGCCACTCGGGTGCGCTTCTGGGTAATTTATTGACAGTCGCACTGACCACTTTTGGTCATCTGGCCAAGCCCGCCAGAGACTTTGGCTCTGACCGGGCTAACGGTACTTATTATTGATGAACGTAAAAGTCTTTTTCGTTGACTTCTCTCCCATTTCGCCCCGTTAGTGTGAATTTATTGCCAAGGCGGCACAAAAAAGTGGAGTGGCAACAGGAGAAAAGAAAGAAGATTTCCGCACTTGGGAGCTTTCTGGCGCTTCTTGGCCATGTAACGGGCTGCGAGCCAAGAGTTGACCTGATTATGGCAGGACTGGTTAACGGCTTCCTGAATGCTGTCATGTGCGGGTTTGCTGCTAAATCTGGTTCATATTTCAGATGATTAATTAGATTTGTGAGAACAATTTGTATTCGCTTTGTAAAATGTTCTTCGTGATTATCGATTACTTTAATGATTTAATTTCATTAAACACAAACAAGTATAAGGGTTTTTTTTATTCAGTCATGCTTACAAATTACCAGCTCTTCAATTTTTATTTTTAACAATTACCATCTTTTGTACTAGGGATATTGAAGTGTTCAAGGCTTGAGCACATTTTATCTGCATTTTGACCAGTATAGAAAATGGCATATCTCTAGCAATATTTCCATTAACAGTTTGGCTAATCCATAATTTAAATAATATTTAATGCAACTCAAACTGGCGTATTTTAAACAAATACAAATGTTTGACCAACCACTAACAAGGGCGAGTTGAACCAATTAAAATAAAGATTATAAAATAATTTTTTGAAAGAACAGTGAATTTAAAAATGCCCAAAATTAGTTCTAATTTATCCCGAAAAGTAGAAGTATGTAAAACAAGTTAAAATATTCAAATGGACCATTATTTACAAAATGGTAACAAGTTATGCTACAAAAATATTAATTTTATGAATGGTGATAAGAAAAAGAGTTGGCCAGTTTCCTAAGTCAATCTCATCAGCTTCTAAATGTTTCTTTGGATTATGCATTCGACTTCCATTGAAGACTGGATCGGTATCAGCTGACTGGTAGGCTGCCCCCCCAGTAAGACATCAACAACAGCAACAGCATCAGCAACAACAACCCCTTAACAGCAACAACAGCAATGAGGAACAGCAATCCGGTATGGACAATCACCAAAACACCTTGTCAATTGGGCGCTTGTCTTTTGGAAGCAGACGAACTGGCTCCAAGTGTGTGCGCAGTTTTGCTCCCCGATCCATAAAGTCGCGAAAACGGCAAATGAAGAAAACATACCACTGGGGACTCAAGACTGGGGACTGCGGACTGGGGATTGGGGATTGGGGACTTAAGACGTCGGTGGTGGCGGCGACGGCGGCATTAATAATAGCAAACAACAGACAAGCAACACCAAATGAGGGGGGCTGTGTTGCTGTTGCTGTTGCTATTGCTGCTTGTTGCAACTTGCAACTCTTGCACCGGCAGCAGCAACAGCAGCAACCACTTGGAGCAGCAAACGACAGAAATGATCTTAAATGAATGCGGAAGTTTTTCTTGGGGTTTCGTAACCAGCTACAGCAGCAGCAACAGCAACATCGGCAGCAGCAGCAGCAGCAGCAACAGCAACACCAAAGAGGTCGCAATTCCAGTGGCAGCAATGTTGCTACATTTATGTACATGTGTTTGTCGGCCAGTCGATGCCGTGAGCCCATAATCATAGATGCTGCTGGCTAGGTCGAAAACAGCCCAGTCCATGGACATATTAAAATTAATCCAATGATTGCAGCGGCAGCCGCTTGAAAATTGTTAGCCAATTTGGTGGCCCCTCTCTCCTGCTTGGCCTCACTTGAGTAAGCAGGGAAAAAGCGTGTGAATCGGAAGCTGAGGCAGCCAGCTGCCAATAGTCATTTGATCCTTGCCAAAAGCTCGGGCAGTTTCCCATGTGCCCAACCAGTTGGAAGATGATGCCCTGCAGCAGCAGCAACAGCAACAGCATCAGCAGCAGCTGCTCAAATCGAAGTTCAAGGCTGCCCAGGATCCATATTGAATGTCCTCCCCCGCCTGCAGTTGTTTTTCGTTCATTCATGAGCCACGGATCCCGAGCCCGATCCCTGTGCATGGGTGGGCCAAACAGATCCTGCCTGGGAACAGACAAATTTCTGCATAAACCCATAAATATCAAATTGATCTAAACGGGATTCCCAGAGGCGCCGGCGCCCTGAACTTGAAAATCCAACAAGGCCGACAAGTCACGTACCAAGCAACTTGACAACTCATAAATAAACGCTAAATTATGAACTCTAGTCGAATTTGGAATAGGAATTGAAATGTTTTTGCCACACCAAGAGATTTTACTTGGCCAACAGCAACACAGAAAATCACAAGCGACCCGCAGTAGTAACAAGTACACCGAAAAAAGTACACAAGTTTCATTGCCATTGCAATTCAAATTATATTTATTTTATATAACTGGATCATTGAGATGAAATACATAATAATAAAAAGTTTCTGAGGTGGGACCTATAAATCCAAAATATTTATTTTAACTAATTCATTAAATTTTGTGACTAAATTGTCTTAAATAAATAACAAAATAAAATAAAATAGTTTGACTAAATGGAACAATAAACTACATTTATGTGGTTTATTGATAAAGTGAATGTTTAATTATTTTAATTTTTAATGGCCCGTTCAAAAAAAAAAAAAAAGTTAAAAATAATGTAAATAATAAAGTCTAGCTTTTCAACCTTTTTTAATAAAAATGTCTTTCGTTAGAACTACATTTTTGAAAAACCGTAAGAATTTAAGATGGTATAATTTTGAATCTCCCTAAGAAGACTAAAAATATCCGAAGATTTTCTCAGTGTGTAGAAAAGGCGCCTCATAATCCATAATATTGTGTCATGTTCATGATCAACGCGGCCTCAGCCTTGGCGAGAAAATGTGTGGCCGGCCCACACCTTGGTGGCAAAATTATTCGGAAAACTCCTCGCCGAGCGAACGAAAGTAAAAGAAAGGCCCGAAAACCAAAGCCACAGTCACAGCCACAGCCAAAAACTGAAAACCGAAAACCGACAACCGAATTCGACCCGCTCGCCGGCTAATGAAGTGGTAAAAAGGGGCTTGGAAAACTGCATGCCAATGCACCAACACCGTTTGTTGTTGCCATTGCCACCTCCGAGTCGAGCGCAGTTGGTTTGCCATTTTTATGGCCTCTTTGGGTAAAATGTTAGCAACTGCCCGGGGAGGGGTGTTAAATTATGAATTTTTACTTTCACCGCATGTGGCGATTTCAGGTTTGCCAGCGGGCTTGAACTTGAGGCAAATGCATAGGCAACTGCAAAGGCAAAGGCGGCGGCAATTGTCAAGGCTGCCAAAGGTCACAAGACCCAGTCAAAACGAAAGGTGTGGTCGACTCGATAAGAGAGCTGCAACACCACGAGATGCTACACGTAGATACCCTTAAGATAAAAGGTATCGTTGTTTTCTATTTCAATAATAGCTTAAAGAGATTACTACATAACCTTTTAAAGTGCGTTTTTATTTTTTATCAATATAGTTTTTTATTTCAAAAAACAGTGCTAATATTTTTTACAGCTTGTAATACAATTTAACGTGTGGAAATAAAATTTAAATGATTATTGGTCTCATTAAGCCATTATTAAAGTCATTAATGTGCAAGCTAAAGCGTGTATAGGTACACAGTAATAAATGAAATCGAATTATTTTGAAATAATAACAAATTGGAATAATTATAACTAATTTAATGATAGTTTGTAAAGAAGTGTGAATGAAATTAATTAAGAAATAATGGAAATTTTATAATTTATTATTATCAGGGATCAAAAGATAACTTTAAAAATAAAATAAAAACTAATAATGTATATATGGACTCCTATTGTTTTTTTTTACCATAAGCTCTTTGATTGTTATTAAAATAAGTTTTAAATGGATTTTCTCCAGTGTGCTGCACACGGATGCAGTTGAACCAGGCTTACACAGTTGCAGCCAGATCATAATTGATTGGGCCGAAATCACTTTGGCGAAGCGAGAGCGAAGTGGCCAACCAATTTGCTTTTAATCTAGCCTGATGAAGATGTCCGACGCGATGGGATTAGCAGACCACAAAAGATACGCCCAGGGAATGTGAACATCATACCTACACAGTGGCGATCTCTATGGGATAGCCTGCAACATTTCCGCGTTTTGGCAAAAAGAGAGAGAAAAGCGGTGCTCTTAAGCTCAGCAGAGACCTCACTCTTAAGCCCCAACCGATTTTCGAGGTTCGCTTCAA